GCTCTGCAACATGTATTTTGACATGCAAATAAATCAGTTTTATTGACAATAAGATGTTTTTTTATTAACAAAGCTTGTGCACAATCTTATCTTCTACTGGTCACTCATGAAGGTCCAGCCAATACCTTGTTCACTTTCAAGTCTTTCAATAGTAGCTCGAGGAGTCGAGTCCAAGATTCTTCGGTTTCAACGTCAACAATAGCCCTTGTGATTGGAAACATTTGGCTGTTTCTATGACGCCCAGAATATCACACGCAACATGTGTTTCTTATAATTATTAACCTTTATTCGAGCGGAAGCAAAAATTTAAACATTAAATAACAATGAAAATCACATAAGTATAGTCAAAGTACTTCTACTACTTTCTTTATATTACTTATCGGATTCACAACGAATTCATTGTTTACAAAACACAAAAGTTTGGGTAGGTTGAGGTCGCATATCTCCATGCTACATTATGTTCAAAAAGACTATCCTTATATAGGTAGACTTTACATCATGGACCATCTATCTCCCTCTATGACGAGTCACAAATGTTGCTACCGTCATATCAGCCAAAATATGGCACTCATAGTGTATAGGAAAACCAGAAAGCATTAGCGGCAGATTGTCCATTCCTACGTATCTGAAAAATAAATGAATGAGCCACGACTCAGTAAATGAAATCTCTAGTTTTAAGTTAGAATTATCTTGCCACTTCACGTGGCATCAACAAACAATGTGAGTTCATGACAAATATAGAGTACTCATATTAGACAATGCAAGAGTAATTATTTTTTCTTCTCATATCGATGGAAATCAATGACAGAGCTTAAGACCATCCACTCAAGTACAAGCAAATGAGATATTCTCTCATTACATACACACGATATCATAGTGGCTCATCACTATATACAGGGAAATTTATGCCCAACTAGTCATGAAGCTTACCCATAAACATAGATAAGTTCATATTTGTCATGAATATCACAAACACACATGTGATTTCATACTGGTCACGAAGCTCATTAATAGATACAGATGAGTTCATATTAGTCATGAAGCTTATCCACTTCATACAGGTCATGAGGCTTACCAGCTCACACAGGTAACTTCATACGGGTCATGAAGCTCATTGATATACCCAAATGAGTTCATACTTATCACGAAGATTACCAACACACGCAGGTGACTTCATGCTGGTCATGAAGTTTATCTACTTTATACGGGTCATGAAGCTTACCAACACACACATGTAACTTCATACGGGTCATGAAAGCTCATTGATATATACAAATGAATTCATACTTATCATGAAGATCACCAACACACATGTGACTTCATACTAGTCATGACAATAAGTAATCACAGGTATTTCAATACACATATTCACCTTCTTGATCTATCATATATTCCTTAAAGAAATGAGATCTTAGTCAAACAAACAAGTAAGAAGCGATATGTGATAAGATTCATGAGATAAATACATTCAGAAAATTGGATATATTTCGAAAGTGATTCCGAGCAAGTCAATGACTATATTATAGGTTAAAGTCTAAACGTAAATCTGGACATCCAAATGAGTATTTCTGGGTTTTGACAATCAAATGAGTATTTCTTGAATACTTTCATATTCATAAAGTAGATATTTTCAAGCCTAGAAAGTAAAATTTGCTCGGATTCAGGAGTAAACAAATTCAGATTCAAAAAGTAAAATCTGCTCGTAAAATCTGTTCGGGTTCAGAAGTAAGCAGGTTCAGATTTAGACAGTAAAATCTGTTCTGGTTTAGAAATAAGTATATCCAGATTTTAAAAGTAAAATATGTTCTGGTTTAAAAATAGACATACCCAGATTTTGAGTACAAATTTTACTCGGTTAAGAAATAGATATAACCGGATTCAGATTTAGAAATAGGTATAACAAGATTTAGAGAGTAAAAATCTACTCGGCTTAGAAAATACACATGTCCAGATTTTGAGAGTAAAATCTACTCGAATTCAAAAATATATAAATCCAGATTTTGAAGGTAAAATCTACTTGGCTTAGAAATACACACATCTAGATTTTGAGAGTAAAATCTACTCGAGTTCAAAAATTCATAAATTCAGATTTTGAAGGTAAAGTCTACTCGAGTTCAGAAATCAATATGTCCAAATTCAGATAATAGAATTTACTCGGTTTAGAAATCAATAGATTTTACGAACGATGGTTAAGTCTGAACCTACAAATATGACTTTTGCAAGTTCAGATTCATCATTTCCACTCACCAAATGTACTCAACTTTAAGTAAAACGATTATCTACCTTTTAAACATTCATAAGGCCAGCAAATCAAATTCCACAATCATCTCAAGGATGACATTTTCATGTTCAGATTTAACAATTGCACTTGCCAATTATACTACACTTTAAAAAAACAAATCATACCCATTTTTAACATGCTTGTGACCAACCAAATAATACCACAGATCACCATATTCTCAATATTATAACACATCAAAATAGCATATCATAACCATTCAAGTTAAAAGTGTTAAGTAGATTGAACTAACTTAACTCTAGAGTCTTCACTTATCTTGTGCAAAATCTGAACACCCAAAGTTAAAACCACATTGTAAATTTTGGATCAGATAGTATTCAAAGTTGAAGGTGAAGAAGGGAGTTACGATTAAGGTGAAAACTCTCTTCCCATTACTAAGATGAAAATGAAGCATAGGAGTATATTTTGAGGTGGAAGAATGCATGAAATCACAAGTTGCTAATTTTCATCCAACTAATGGCCAAGTGTGAGAAGTCAATACTTTTTAGGGGTGACTAATAGCCAAGATAATGATGACTTATGGCTATGTGTCAAGTTAGTGTAAGAAGCTTAGCTTAAGAGTGTCATGTTGGATACTTGAATTCTCCAAATGTGGCATGCGACCATGCATAAATTCTACATAAGCCATGTGATTTCTTGGTGTCTAAAAAGAGGTCTTGTGGGAAATTAAAATAAAAACAGAATGTCTTCCCTTTTACAACACCAATTAGCAATTAATTATTACCACTAATTAACTAGAGTTTAAATTAACAATATCACACATCAATTACTAAGACAACGGTAAATTAAATAATCACCGCTCTACTATTAACGTATACACCAACGTTTATAAATTTTAAATACGTTGAACTCGGAACGATTACGTTCCCGAATCCACGCCTCACAAATTTATGGTCCAACAAAGATTTTTACACGTCCACTCAAATTTTATGATCTAAGTATTATTACTAAAAACGGAAATTTTTGAACATCACATAAATATTATTTCGAAAATTCTAGATGTCACGGTTTCCATCTCTTCTAGTAGCATAAAGCAACATCCCTCTGATTAAAGTCTTCGTAAAGCATCCAACCAATCCAATTAGTTGCCTACAACTTGCTACAAAACCCTCTTTCAATTCTTTGAAGCCAACATAGAATCTTCTGAACGTTACATCGTCCAACTTCCTGGTCAAATGTGCTTTTCTGACTACATCCAATCAACTCAGCCTTATAAGAGTGCAACAACTTGTATTGTTCAACAAATGGGCCTTTGAAAATCTCAATAGCTTGAGTATCGCTTTGTAACAAATCCTCTTATTCAATGTCAATGCCTCCATCTCTATTGCATCCACCTACATATATGATGATGTATACTTCGAGTTAGCTTTAATTTTAGGTAATATTTGCTCTATAAGTCATACATAAGTTGCATTCTTATTTCTCATGCTCCTAGGGCAAGTATATTCATTTCCAACAGTCTTGATGTTAAAAGTCTTCTCATTCTGCATCTAACTACCAAAAACTCTCAATTCACAGCCACTCACACCTACTATCCATCTTTTTCACTTCATTTTTCTTACATCCAATGTTAAATCCATTTGGATTTTCTTTGGTCACTGACTTCTTCATGGCATTAGGAGAGCTCATACTTCATCTCATTCTTCTAGATCAGTGTCTCCATCATTTTCACCCTCATCCTCAATTTTAGGAATGTTAACTTCAACTATATTAGTTATAGCAGCGGTAACATTAGCCTCTCTTCTTATTTGCCTTGCAAGAAAGAAATCCTTGTTACCACCAACGAGAATGTAGTCATCATCACTTGAGGATAATGTATCAGGATCTTGCTCATGTTCATTACTACTATCTCTTTCATTACTTTTACTATCATCCTTATCAATATTACCCCACTAGTAGAAGAACCACGACCATTGCCAAGAGCAGCTCCTTCGATATATACTTAAATAACACCCAAACTCGATCCTAGACCCACTAATTCTAGCGCTTGATCATCACCAAAAATTTGCAAACACCATCTCTAGAAATACCAAGAATCTAGTACTACAACTTTTGAACTATGTATCCTAAACAAATAACAGTCTCAACAATTGCACTATAGCTCACTACCTTTGACTTACAACCGTGGAGATACTGATATTCTACATGACGGTTTGTGTACTTCGTGATGTCTCTATACTCCATAACTCAACCCAAGTTAAGTGCAATTGTAAATTTGCTAGACATTCACAAGAGAACAACAACCAAACCAATTAATTTGTAATAACCTCTCAAAGATATGTAGCAAAAAGGGGAAGATCAAGTTTGACAAACAAGTTAAGAAGATCGAGTTCGACAAACGTGTTGAGAAGATTGAGTTCCACATACCAGCTAAAAAAATGAACTCTCATAGACAATTGCTTGGGATCCTTCACACCAAGCTGAATGAGTTCGACAAACAAATAAGGGAAAAAAAATCAAAGACGAGAAGATTACCGGGGATAAAAGAGTGTGCATGGAAACATCAAAGCTGAGAAGATTACTAGTGATAAAAGAGTGTGCTCAACGAAGAAAGTGTGTTTGAACGAGTTCTAATGCCTAATCACGAAGACGAAGACGACGATGAAGGAGAGTGCTCGATGAAGAGGAAGTCGAAGAATAAAGTGCTCTGAGAGAGAGAGAGAGAGAGAGAGAGAGAGAGAGAGAGAGAGAGAGAGAGAGAGAGAGAGAGAGAGAGAGAGAGAGAGAGAGAGAGAGAGCCCTAATTGTTCTCGAATGAGGGCTAATTAAAAAAACAAAGAGAGAGAGTTATGAATTTAGAGAGAGCCCTAATTGTTCTCAAACGAGGGCTAATTAAAAAAACAAAGAGAGAGAGAGAGAGAGTTATGAATTTACACATGGACTTATCACGTCAATTGAGTTGTCATCCAATTTAGTAATTTCACAATAAAATTTTACGAAAGCTAATGAAGAATAAATGTGTTACATATGTACCACTTTGAGATTTTTGGTAACATAAAAAATAGTTTAAAATAAATTTGTCACAGTTATACAAATTTGAGATTTTTCGTAATATTAACCCAAAGGATTCTAACTTGCTAAAAAAAAGATAAACGCTTGTTGTCCATTGTGCCGTGACAACTAGCGTGCCGAATTTAAAATGTCTCATTTAAGCTCTATTCAAGCCATTTTACATGGTCCAGAATTATTGAAAAGTTAACGCGACGTACTTACAATGCTTACTCACTTTTGACTTAAAAGATGGCTAAAAACGGGCGCAACCGACTGTCAAAAGACCGTGGGTGGCAATTGTTTCATACAATAGTACACTTCAGAATTTCACCCAAGTCAAACCTATATCCTAAACTTCTATGAAATCCCAAAGATCTATGACACCTAAAGTTTCTTATTAAATTTGATTTTGCAGCTCAAAAATCACCAGAGTTCAACCAGCGATACATGACTCGAAACAATATGAATTTCAACTCAACCATAGAAATCGCTTAATAAGAGAATCATAGTTTCGAATTCTTACTAAGCGCTTTGAGAATGAAGTTAATTTATCATACCAAGCCATCCACAAACCACGTGACCGTCCATCTCCTCTTTGTTTCCTATTCTCTCTTTCCTTGTTTCTTTCCGAATTGATATATTCTTACACATTGATAGTCTTGGATGCAGATCAAAAAATTGATTGAGATGGTATAATATCTCCGTTCACATAATCTAATGTAATGTGCCAAGTAGACCGGACCATGGACCCTTCTTATCACGGGCTAGCTGCATTGAATGAGTCCAACGACAAATTTAGGTAGGCCTTGATAAGGGTTTACTAATAATAAAGTCGGCCGGACCCAATGGTCGGCCTGATTTTGGCCCGTCCATTTCGAAAAGTACCAAATTCTTTTTTTATGCGCGTGGTTCGCAATATAAGTTATCCCTAACCTAAGGCTCGACCTAGTTCGAGCTCATCCAATGAACCTCCTGTACTAAATATTATGAATTGTCTTATTTTCTTTGGAATTGATATGACTTGACGGTCAATGATTGATCTAGATGGATTGACTAACGATATTTCATATACATTATAAACATTCTCATTTGGGAAAATGACACAAACAGTCCCTGAACTTTGGTCCAATGTGCAGTTTGGTTTCTGAATTATAACCCAATATGCAATGTGGTCCATAAACTTTCAATTTGTTCAATGTCATCCCTGAACTTTTGATACATATTCAATTCAGTCCCTGAATTATATGAAAATGTTCAATATAGACTTTTCATTAATTCAAGTTCGGGAACTACATTGAACATTTTCATATAATTCAGAGATCAAATTGAACAATTACCAAAAGTTTAGGGACCACATTGAACAAATTAAAAGTTTGAGGACCACATTTAACATTAAGCTAAAGTTCGGGAACTACACTGAATAAATTAAAAGTTCAGGGACCAAATTTCATATTGAGCCAAAGTTCATAGACTATTTATATCATTATCCCTTCTCATTTTTCTTTATGTAAAGTGCCTTCTTCTTCTCATCAAAAGCTGTGCAAAGGTGTCATTGCCATGGCCGAGGCCGTGACCCTCGCCCGCGACTGGTGAGGGCTTCACGGCCCTTGCCCAGACCATCGCGGCCACAAGCAATGTGGCCCTGCCTAGAACTGGGCGAGGCTAGGCGAGGGCGTCCCGGCCCTCGCCAGCCATAGATGTAAAAAAGAAACAAAGAAAATAAAGGAAAAGAAAAAAGGAAAAAAAATAAAAATCGTAAAATATTTGAAAAAGAAATATTAAGATATTACTAAAAATTGTCTACGTCGACGATAGCTATGCCACCTAAGATAACTGGCATACACGTTAGTGATTTGCGGCCAAAATTAGCCGGATGAATTCAATTGGTAAAACGTGAAAATATTTAGAACTCAATAGGCAAAATTTAAAAAGTTTAGAATTGAATTGGTAAAAGTGTAATAGATTTAAAACTTTTTCGATAATTTTCCCCATTACCATTCATAATCATCTTTACTCTTCAAATCCCATTTTCTTAGTATTAATAATTCCAATATTTCTTTTAGAGGTGGAATATAAGGGTGCGAATGGTAACCATTCTGCTCCAGAAATCAAATTCTTGCCAGAAATTGATTTCTGGAATTCTTGCTACCTAAAAAAATTTAAATTTTACTCAAAGTGGGTGGCCACAGGTATTATAAGCCATTATGTAAAGTTTTGAAATTTTTGATTTTTAAAATTTTTTTTGGGCACCTATAAAAATTTAAATTTCACTCAAAGTGGGTGGCCACAGGTATTCTAAGCCATTTTGTGAAGTTTTGAATTTTTTTATTTTATTATTATTATTATTATTATTTATTTTTTTGGGCATCTCAAAAATTTAAATTTCACTCAAAGTGGTAGCCACAGGTATTATTCTAAGCCATTCGTGAAGTTTTGAAATTTTTTTTATTTTTGGGCACCTCAAAAATTTAAATTTCACTCAAAGTGGGTGGCGGGTATTCTAAGCCATTCTTGAAGTTTTGAAAATTTTTATTTTATTATTAATTTTTTTTTTGGGCACCTCAAAAATTTAAATTTCATTTCAAAGTGGTGGCCCGGGTATTTTAATTATTACGTGAAGTTTTGAAATTTTTGATTTTTTTATTTTTTAAAAAAATTCACCAAATTTCATATTTTAAATCGATTTTTTTATTTTCTGGAAATTTTTATGATTTTTTCTAGAATTTTTCAATTTTTATGCATTTTCTGAAAAAAAATTATGAGAAAATAGGGAGAATGTATTCGGAATCGAAGCTACAAAAGTAATTCTCTTTTTTGCCAAAAACTCATTTACGGAATAAAAAATGCATTCGGAATCAGAATGCATTCGGAATCAGTATTTTTAACAAACGCATTTTTATTCGAATACAAAAATTTAACAGCATTCGAAATTTTTTAACAAACGCCATTGTTGAATGCATTCCGAATATTACTTTTAGAGGTGGAATATAAATATAAGCAACGTAAAATGTATGATTAGAAAAATTTAAGTCACCGTGGAGACAAGCTTCAAGGGACCAAATCACTTTGTTACTATTAAAAAATCAGTTCACTTTAGTACACATAGATAAAATTATATAATAAATTGTTAAAAATTAAGAATGTACGTAAGTAAAGAGTGAGATTAGAAAAAGCAATCAAAAACCATTAAAGCATCCTCAAAAGCCTCGTCACCTCTTCGCTACACGTTACTTAGTATATTATATTTTACTATATTTTAGATATGTGCTAAAAGACAATATCAATTTAGGGTTAGGTGAAATGAAGTACAGTGCATTATAAAATTCAAAATCCATTCGAAGTCTCCCAAGAAGCCAAATCACCCCCAATACTATTTCAACCGTTCCTCTTAATATATATATATATAAAATCGGATTAGCCCCGGTACCCCTAAATTGAAAATCACAGTATGCCACTTATTAAGCAATCACATTAGAAAATATTATAAATTTTGCAGAGAATCTCATTAACGAGTGCTTCGAAACACTTATTAAATATACTGAAAGATAAATTATTCAATTTTCGAAGCTTTTATTGTGACGTCAAGATGATAATCCGCGCTTTAAAAAAGTTACACTATCTTTCTTATTTAATTACCTAGTAACTGTAGCTTCTTTCTCATCATTAAGTGTCGAGCTCTTTATAATATGAAGTCGAAGGCACTTTTTAAGAAAATTGTTTTGAAAATAATTAGCAAAAGGCCCTAGGACACACTCATTCACGTTGTTTGCATCTAATAATGTAGATCACAATTAGCTACGAATGTGGGTTCGAGAAGCGAATTGAGAGGCGGGGGAAGTGGAAGCCACGGCCATGGTCGGAGGGAAGGGTTCGAGGGTTTTAAGCTTCGGCCACGAGGCAACCCTCGCCTGTTGCAACCGTACCACGTAAGACAATCGACATTCACGTCAGCGATTTTTGGTCAAAATTGACCGAATGGACTTAATTGGCAAAATTTGAGAACTCAATTGGTAAAATAAAAAATTCATGACTGAATTGGTAAAAATGCAATAGATTTGGGACTCTTTGGACAATTTTCCATATGGTAATGGAATGGCGCGTCGCTCTTGGCAAAATCATTCATTTTTTCCAAAACAAAACCACACATTTCTACTCTTATTTTGTACACAAGCCAAAATTATTGTATATCAAAACCAAAATGAGTTTTAGTTAGTAAAGCATGATTTGCTATGCGGTAGGAGTTTTGCGTCGAGATCAGAGATGTTCTTTTTTTTTGGCCAGTATTGAGATTAATTCTTTTCAATATTTAATTCTATATTGTCGATACTTACTTTTCATATAACCTTATAATAATACTCTAATAAGAAAAAGGTAAAATATTATTGCATTAACATTTCCTCTTCAAAGAGCAGTCGGTCCATATTAGGGAAAATGACATAAATGATTCATGAACTTTCGCCCAATGTGTAATGCGGTTCCTGAACTTTTAATTTGTTTAATATGGACGCTAAACTTTAACCAAATGTGCAATATTGTCTCTGAACTTTTAATTTGTTTAATAAAGTCCATAAATTTTTGGTACATGTTCAATTTAGTCCTTCAACTATATGAAAATATTCGTTTTAGTCCTTCAATTAACTCAAGTTCAGGGATTACATTGAGCAATTTCATATAGTTCAGGGACCACATCGAACATGTACAAAAAATGTCCTGAGATCACATTGAACATATTTAAAGTTCGGGGACTACATTGAACATTAAACTAGAGTTCAGGGACTACACTGAATAAATTAAAAGTTTATGGACCACATTACACATTGAATCAAGGTTTTATAGACTGCACATGTCATTATCTCTCCACATTAAAAATGAAATTACAATTCTGATCGACATGAGTACGTCGAGCAAGGAATGGGATTCATCGAGCCGTGCCCCAAAAATACATTAGCGATGTTCTCATATCCAGCCCGGTTGCCAGCCCGGCACTCTCGAACGGGATTATCTGAGAAAAGAATACTCTTTTTTTCCACGGCCACTCTTCTAAGGTCGGCAATTGAACTCATGGAATGGCTTTGGAAGAGTATCCCAATCGATTACCCAATTTCGCCACAAAACTTTACCGGGGCAGGCAATTTATGCGTATCACAATTTCATTGGCAGGTCATTCATGTGCCAAGATATAGAGGCAAAAGAGAAAAAAAAAAAAGCAGCAGCAGCATTAATTAGACCTTGCCGCTTTATGTGACCGTGCCTAGCGAAATCCCACATCGCGAGTACAAATAAAAACCCCAGCTTTAAACATAAAAAAAGGAGGGGACCGAAGAAGATTAAACCAGAAAGAAACCTCGGTAACTGATCTCCCCCACAATCGCACCACGTTTCTCTCTCCTCTCTCTTCCCCCCCCCCCGCTTTCTCTCTCTTATAATATCACCCAACACCAGCAGAAACAGAGGAAACCCTTGATCGATCCGAGAGAGAGAGAGTGCTGAGGAAGGAGGAGGAGGAGAAGGTGGAGGAAACACCCCCCCGGGAGCTCCGAAGAAGAGGAAGAAGCCAGCTTCGAGACCATGGTGGAGACCAGGCGCAGCGCCTCCGCCAACAAGCGGCCCCTCTCCTCGCCCCAGAACTCGTCTTCGTCCGGCGGCAAGCGCTCCAAGGTCGGTGCTTTCTCGAGCCCGGGGAGGGGGGGGGGGGGGGACCTGGGGATTCCGCCGATTCGACCCGGCCTCGCGGCTTCCCCCGGGGGCCCCCCGGATTCGTGGGTTCCTTTTGGATTTGTTGGGGGGTGATGTGGGTTTTTGGTGTTTGCAGGTCGCGGAGGGCAATTTGCCCGAAAAGCCCGATTTGGGGGCGAAATCCGGGTCGGAATCTCGAGATTTCGGGCTCAGATCCTCTGATCGGCGGAGCTCGGATGCGGAGAAGGCTGCCGATGCGGGCGAGGCGGAGAAGTCGCCGCAGCCGTCAGGTCTGACCCTTTGGTTTTTTTTAACTGCATGTGGGCCCTGGTCAATTGATTTGGTTCATGGGTTTGGGTGATTTGTGGCTAGGGGGTTTTCATTTTGTTGTTGGTTCGGTTCTTGGGTTGGTTTCTTGTTTTGCTAGGTGAGATTGCAATGGATGGTGAGAAACAAAACTGGCAGAAGAAAAAGGCTTCAAAGCCGACCAAGAAACCTAGGTCTGCGTGGGGACAGCTTCTTTCTCAGTGCCGTCAGGTGTGTTTTCTCTTCTTCTTAATGTCGACGGTATTTTAGAGTTTGCTTGGTTCATGATAAGTGCGAGAACGTGTATTATACTTGGGCTTCCTTGGTATATGGTGGTCCCAGAACTCTGATGAGAATGAGAGTTGGATGTGAGAAGTCACTCGAGCTGCTTTAGATATGGGAATGTCTTGATTGATCGCTATTCGTTCGAGTTGTCCATTTTGTAGTGGCTTGATATCACGTGTCCATAGGGTGATCGGGTGTGATAGTTTATTCACGAATGTGTTGATCTATGCATTCTTTCGAGCATCACTTTCGGTGGTTGATCTGATCTTGATTTCATAGCAATCAATGACCGAAGTTCCTGTCATGTGGTGAGAACATACACTTGGTCAGGATGTTTTATTGCGATCTTTTTATTTTTATTTTTTGGGGCTGGTCGCTTAGGTATGTATAAACTGGCAACTTGTGTGCCACACTTGGGTTTGTAACTGGGCGTGCATTGAATCACCACCACGATGGCTTGGAATTCATTTTCGCTTACAAGAAATGGGCGAGGCTTGTGAATTCAATTTACAGATTGATGTATGAGTGTGATTGTCAGATTCATTCCATTCTGGATTAGACCCAAGTGGAATAATGCACTTTATCATGTCAAACTTGTTGGGAAGATGGCTTCATATGAGGGGATGTCACATTATCGCATTTATTGCTGGCATTTGATTATGATAATTGGAATTTAAACAATGTAAAAAACCTTGGCGTGTGTGTTGCTGTTGGTGATTAACTTAGAAGAGGGCCAACTGATGAGCAGCAATAACTGAAGGATTGCAAAAATTTTCTTTCCTAGCTCTATTGAACAATTACACCATGGGATCTTAAGCATTAGGATTTGTACATATTACAATTCCTATGAAAACTGCTATGAATAGATGGGATATTTTTGGAGAAGAATAAGATGCGGAAGAGATCTAGTTGGAAAAACTATACTGGTACTTTCAAAGTGTTTATGTGAGCCTTACAGTTTGCTTAACAAAATCAGTTATGTGAACAAAAATTTATGGCACCTGGCTACCTATCCAACTAGTCCATCACCACCTTCAAGGGACAACTGATGTTGAACTTTACACCTCATATCAGGAATAAGATTTTAGAGTTTTAGCGTCTAAAAATCCTGTCAGAATTATCGTCTTGTATGCCTTAAACATTTTCAAGAATCTAGCTTTTAGTAATAAAATGAGGTCAAACCTTCCAAAAAGAGATATGGAAACCTTAAGAATGAACTTTTTTAATTGAGATATCAAAAGAAAGAAATTGCTAGAATTTGGCACTTGTTATACCGACATAATAGAGATAGGGTAGCCTTGTCATTGGATCAGTCACAGAATATCACTCTTAAGGTGTCCTAGGAAGTTTCAGAAAAGGTGAAGTCATTGATTTTGATAGTTATGAGATAAAATGATGACACTTTTTTTTTTGGTCGGAAGGATGACGACACTTTAAATGCTTGGACTTTTATCAATGGTTCAATACAATCCCTGAAACTTCTTTTTGTTCAATTCCTTTGAACTATGGCTTTTTGGTTCTTTCAATCAATGTCATCTGGCACGTCAACACTTATAGGCCAATTAATGAACGTCGAATTAAATTAAATATACAAAAACAAGCATGAACCATGACCGTGGAATTATAAAAAATAGAAAACCAAAAACAAGCCACAGAGAGAGAGAGAGAGAGAGAGAGAGAGAGAGAGAGAGAGAGAGAGAGAGAGAGAGAGAGAGAGAGAGAGAGAGAGAGATCACGATATGTACTAGATGGGAAGATGACACCACAAATGTGTGATCTTTTGCGGGTATTCAATGTTGTTTCTTAATGTTTTCGTTTCCAATTGGGTCTTGAAATTAGTCTTTTTTGTTTACGACGGTCCTTTCGATCAAAATATGGATAAAAATGCGGATGTGGGTTGCTAGGCCAACATGGAAATAAAAATACAAAAGTATGAAAATAAAAAGGACAAACCTCTGAGAGAGAGAGAGAGAGAGAGAGAGAGAGAGAGAGAGAGAGAGAGAGAGAGAGAGGCTGGTCTGCCACCAGCCACCGGCGACCCTTGTGAGCCCAAAAGAGGGCCTTCGCAGCAAGAGAGGGACTGGGGGACCGTCACCAGCGCTCCCATGTGAGGTTTGTGATCCTTGTTGGCAAGTGGTGAGGGTGGCGACCCCTGCTTCATTTCCCTGGGGATTGCCAACCTTGTTGAATCTCTTAGTCTTTCTCTCTCTTTGGGATAAGATGAGGAGGCAGCAGCGGAGCCTTTCCCTAAGGCTGTGGTGGCCTAGACCCACACCTTCTCTCTAGGGTTTGAGCATCTCTTGTTTTCCGTTTCTGTATTTGTTTAATTCGTGTCAGCTGGTTTGTCTGGTCAATGTTGACATGGCACTCATGTCGGCATTTTTAGCCATATTTTGATCGGTTGGACCAGCAGAACCATAAAGACCATAGTTTAGGGATCCGATTGAAAAGGAAAAATGCTCAAGGATGGACTGAAAAATTAGCAAAAGGATTAGTAGGGTCGTTATCATCCCTTATGAGATCACCCATGATGAAAATTCGCACTCAGATCCAGCATATTTAGGATTGCATAATACATGTTTTTCCTCCTTTTTTACTCAATTATACTGTTTTTGTGAACTGTCATGACATACCGACACTTGACACAGCGAAATAAAATCTTTTTTTTGTCAGGCATCGCGGGTAAAAAAAAACTAGCTATACTGCATTTAACCTTGTCAAAACCTCCATCTTTTTCACATTTTTTTAAACTTGTCTGTTACTTTCTGCTTTGAAAGAAGCCCTATGATAAGCGTTAAGTTGTTATTATGGTCTTCCTTGTGTCTCTTTTCTGAAAAGAGCAGTTAACTGGTTTGATTTTTAGAATGAGTCTATTAACTTCAGAAAACTGGATTGGTTGAACTGATGTACACGGGTGTCCATGATGTCCTACCTTAAGTGTCTCTCTCTCTCTCTCTCTCTCTCTCTCTCTCTCTCTCTCTCTCTCCTTACTCTTGACTTATACATATTCATTATCTATTAAAAGATAGAATCAACTCTATGGTGCTCTACAAGTAGAAATTTTTCTTCCTCAGAAAGGAAATCCCTGTCATATCTTTTTGATCGGCTGGCGCAAGAGGAACTGCTTACTATGTGCTATTTTGATCCATTCCTCAAGTTGTTACTGGTATCATTGTCTCGAATCATGTGCTTGTCCTTATTCAATGTCTTCTTTATGCAGAATCCTGACTTGGTGATGCGGGATAGCCTTTTCACTGTTGGTCATGGCAGCCAGTGCAATTTGTGCCTTGCAGATCCATCTATTAGCTCGGTGTTGTGTAAACTTAAACACATTGCGGTATACTTTTGCTTTACTTGCTTGCATTTATAAGTTTCTTGGTTTAGAATGTAGTAACAAAGACAGACATATCATCTTTTACCATTTATATCATCCTATCTGATTTTGGCGCAGCGTCGAGGTTCATCGGCAACTCTCCTTGAAATTACTGGGGTTAAAGGTACTGTCCAAGTAAATGGAAAGGTTTGTCATCGGAATTCGACTGTTCTCTTATGCGGTGGTGATGAGGTGGTTTTTACGGAGTCAGGCAACCATTCATATGTATCCTTAACTCTTTTGGCTTGGGCTACTAGATGGTTCATCTTTCTTTGCCAAGTTCTCCATCCTTATTACCAATAAAGGAAAGAAATATTAGTGGACGGGAGATATCTTTAAATGCTACAACATTTTCACTCAATTATTTTTATTATTTTTTTGGTTTTTCTCTGCCAAATGTGTTCCTTAATGCATTCTTAGGTATTTCGGCAGTTTGATGATAATGTAGCAGATGTAGGCATTCCATCAGAATGTATTTTGGAAGCTCAAGGTGCTTCGATGAAGGGGTTACATATTGAGTCAAGATCTGAGGGCCCCTCAGCTGTTTCAGGAGCATCAATGTTATCCTTGACTGATTTACAAGAAGACTTGTCCCTCCTTCCACCTCCTGGCAAAAGTAGTCCGGATGTGCAATGCAATACGGGAATGCCCATTGTCCCGTCTGTATGCGATATATCAGATAATCAAAACGGAGAAGTTGAAATAAGGGATAGTTCTAATAACGACGATGTGAGAGATGTTTCCACAAGGGAAAAAAGTGTTTCTCCATCTGCTGAATGCAATGATGAAAATGCAAATTTAGATGGTGTTGGCTTTGATAGTAGGGGTGCAGGGGATGAAAAGGTACCTGGGGCAGCCTATGAATTAAGGCCATTGTTGCGAATGCTTGCGAGCTCCTCCTCCAACTTTGACTTAAGCGGCAGCATTTCCAAAATGCTTGAAGATCGACGTGAAATAAGAAGAAAACTACTCAGAAATAGTGATGCTTCACTTCTAAAAAATAACGATATTTCATCTGATTCAAGAACAGATTGGCGGAAGGCATTTAGAGAAAGTCTAGAACAAGCCATAAGTAATCCTGATAATATTGAAGTCTCTTTTGAGAATTTTCCATATTACTTGAGGTATGCCTCATTTAATTTCATGCATTTCTTAAGTTGGTGCTACTTGTAACATTTGGACTAGTATCTCGTCCATGTAGCTATCATTCTAACCTTTCTGAGCATGTTACGGTAGTTAGTAAGTGGACCTTTACAATTTTTTTGGAGCATTCCCTTCCCCTTATATTGGAAATACTTTCTTATATTTTATATTCTGTCAATTACTTTTGATGACATTTGAGATTCAGTGTTTGTGTTTGGGCTTGCAGTGACACAACAAAGAATGTTTTAATTGCTTCTACCTATTTACGGTTGAAGCACAGTGAATTTGTGAAGTACTCTAAGGACCTTCCAACTTTATGCCCCCGTATATTGTTATCGGGTCCTGCTGGTAAGTCTTGCGCTCTTTTGTGTAATTCATAGCATCAAGTTTTAAGGTCCTGGTCTGAAACCGTTCTTCAATTGGCTGGTTGTAGGCTCAGAAATATATCAAGAAACACTGACAAAAGCGCTTGCTAAGCATTTTGGTGCTAAACTACTGATTGTCGATTCTCTGATCTTGCCTGGTGTAAGCTTCTCCCGATTTGTCTTGGTCATTTCCTGTTAAGAATTTATTTCGCTTTTTGTTAGTTGTAGAATCTCTGTTAGTCTTCCATCCTTTCCTGGTCATCTTTTAACGATGCACTTACATAGCCGTCTGACAGAGAAATGCCAATTTTCCAGGATTTAATGCCTAGAGATGTCGATTCACTGAAAGAATGTGTGAAGTCTGAGAAAGCATCCGTTCATGCCAAGCGGACTGGACAGTCTTCTGCAGTACATCATAGAAAACCAACCTCAAGTGTTGAGGCTGATATTACTGGTGGATCTATTGTTGGTTCACGTGCTCAGACAAAGCAGGAAGTGTCCACTGCAACATCGAAAACCTATAAGTTCAAAAAAGGCATGTTTTAGTTTCCAGGATGTAGCTTGCTGTGCAGATGCTTGTTAACTATTTTCTTGCCCAGTCTTCAGTCTTCATCCTTTGCATGCAGTTCGTATTTATTTATGCCGTGTGAGTTTTCATCCCTTATCACTAGATAGAAAATGACTATAACTAATTATATGCAGGGGATAGAGTGAGATATGTGGGGTCTGCTGGGCTCTCTGCTTTGCAGCCGTTGAGGTACTTCTTCTCCAAGATATTTTTATCTCACCTAATTTAGAGGGGGAGAGAGAATTTTAGACTCTATAAGTTTTGTTGGTGCCACGATTGGATATTGCTGTCTCTTTAGCTTTATCTAGTGGTGGCAGCTTCTATGATACATTGCTTCAGTCTATAAATGTGAAGCTATTATTTATGTTTAGTTATTTATTAGTGACATCAATTGGTCAAAGTAGCTTTGGTTCATTCGTTCACGAGCATTGATTGACAATCCTTTGGCAGTAGGAAGATGAGTAGTCGACGAGATATGTGCTCAGAAGAAGTTTCTATGGATATGCTATTCCTTTCTTTTTCAGTTTATGTAGAGGAATGATAAACTGTGATTGTTTAGGCCATTGGGATGCCGGTGCTTTGTGCCAGCTACAGATGGCTACTTACGATGGCAATATATATTTATTCTGTAGCTTGAGGTTCAACTTAATGATCGAGTAGTCAAGGCTTGAGTCATTTTATTCAGATGGAGACACGGTACTATTATATGCTTTAAAAAACAGTAGATCTCGGTTTAGAAGGATCCTGGGGGGAATTCTTCATTACTTTATTGAGGTTTCATTTAATTTTATGAAAGTCATTTTCACCTTTTCTTGAATTCTTATGTTATTTTTGGCTGGCCAGGGGTCCATCTGATGGTTATCGAGGTAAAGTAGTTCTTGCATTTGAAGAAAATGAAAATGATGCAGCAAAAGTTGGAGTGAGATTTGATAAGCCAATTCTTGAAGGCAATAACCTCGGTGGGCATTGTGAAAAGGACCACGGTTTCTTCTGCTCTGGTAAATTTTCGTGGTTTTGTGGATTGTTGCTTTTGTGGATGTGGTCCTAGCACTCATTTCTGCAGTATGAATTTTCAACAGCCAATTCACTTAGGTTAGAGAGTTCTGGAGGGGAAGAAACTGACAGCCTGGCTATTGATGAAATTTTTGAGGTAAACCTGAAGGTTGCTCTAGGAGCTAGCATTTCTTTTCGTTTTCATAATGTTGTTACTTCTATTTTGATGTGCTTAAACTTTGAAGGTTGCATTGAACGCGAGTAAAAGTTGTCCTTTGGTAATATTCGTGAAAGATGTGGAGAAGGCTGTAGTGGCGAGCCCAGATGCAGGTCAAGTGTTTAGAGGCAAGCTTGAAAATCTGCCAGAGAATGTAGTCGTTATTGGCTCTCATATTCAAATGGACAGCCGCAAGGAAAAGGTAAGTATCCAATCTTTTCATCTCCTATGTTCACTCTCAGATATCTCTCGTCTTGGCAGGCCATATTATTAATAATCTCGCTTTTTCGTTTTCAGTCCCATTCCGGTGGCCTTCTGTTCACAAAGTTTGCAGGCAATCCCACTGCTTTGTTAGACTTGGCGTTCCCGGTAAGCAAGAGTCATTCAAAGTTTGTTGCTTCATTTGTTATAGGGAAAATTCCAATTAAGGACCCCAATTCTCAAAAAAGGGTCCAAAGTGAACATTGTGTCAAATAAGGGCCTGAAGTGCTCAATCAGTCTCAAATAAGGACCCGAAGTGCCCAAAAAGTCTCAAATAAGGACCTGGGTTCTCGGCCGGCCAAAATACCTGCCGGCCGGCGAGAAAGTTACTGTTTTGGTACCGGAACAGTAATTTTTTAATTTTTTTATTATTCTTTCTGTTTTTCCTTTTCTGTTTTTTTTCTTTTCCTTTTCCTCTTTTTTTTTTTTTCTTTTCTTCCTCCGCCGGCCATAGCCGGGCAGTGGAGGTCGCCAGGCCTCGGGCGAGGCGCCTCGCCGGGTCGGGCGAGGGTTGCCCTCGCTGGGACGTCGGGCGAGGTTGCCTCTCGCCGCGGCGTCGGGCGAGGCCGCCCTCGCCGGCGTCGGGCGAGGGCCGCCTCGCCGGCGTCGGGCGAGGCCGCCCCGCCGCGTCGGCGAGGCCGCCGGCGAGGTCGAGCCTCGCCCGCGTCGGGCGAGGGCTCGACCTCGCCGGTGAGCCCGGCCTTGGCCCGCCGCGAGGGCTCGCCAGCCGGTTTGGCGGCTCGCCGCCGGCCCAGCGAGGGCTTCGCCCCGCCGGCTGCCGGGCGAGGCTCGGCCCCGCCGGCGTCGGGCGAGGGCGGCGAGGCTTGACCTCGCGATCCGGCGAGGCCGAGCCCTCTCTCTCTCCAGCCTCGAAGTTCGTCCGGTCAAAGCCATGGGAGGAGCAGGGCCTCCTCCAAGGACCCAGGGCCTGCATCGCCGCCTTGAGCAGCATCGAGAGGAAGCGATTCCAGACGATCTTCGACCGGACGAACTTCGGCGTCGGGCGAGGCCGGCGAGGTCGAGCCTCGCCAGCGGCCGGCGGGGCCGAGCCCTTGCCAGATCTGGCGAGGCTCGACCTCGCCTGCAACTGGCGAGGCCGGTCTCGCTCGACGCCGGTGAGGTCGAGCCCTTGCCAGATCTGGCGAGGCTCGACCTCGCCGGCAACTGGCGAGCAGCCCAGGCGATGGCGGCCCTCACCTGAGGCCGGTGAGGGCGACCTCGCCCAGCCCAGACTAGGGCGGCCCTCGCCCGACGCCGGCGAAGGCGAAGGCGGCCTCGCCTTAGGCCGGCGGAGGAAGAAAAAAAAAAAAAAGAAAAGGAAAAGGAAAAAAAAAAAAGAAAAGGAAAAAAGAAAGAAAATAATAAAAAATTAAAAGTTATTGTTCCAGGTCTTAACAAGAACTTTCTCGCGCACGGGTATTTTGGCACGGAGACTCAGGTCCTTATTTGAGACTTTTTGGGCACTTCGGGTCCTTATTTGAGACTAGTTGAGCACTTCAGGCCCTTATTTGACACAATGTTCACTTTGGACCCTTTTTTAAAAATTTGACCCCACTTGAGGTCCTTAATTGGAATTTTCCCTTTGTTATATTCTGAATGTTATGAGGATTTGCTTTGCTTTTAGTTTTTCCTTTTTATTTTGGTTTATATAGGGGTATGTTGTTTTAAGGGTGCTGGACAATACTTTCACAATTAACATAAATGTAGTTAGCATGACACAATTATGAGAGTGGTCCTCACCATTTGTCCTTTGTTTAGTGTATGTACCCAACTAGGCTTGTATCCTATGCACCTTTAACTATGACTCAAGAGTTCCATGATAGATGGAACATAAAATCCTTAGATTGGTTGCCCAGCCGCGGAACACAAACAGAAGGTGATGATCAACCAGTTTTAGTGATTTGTTTGCACAGGCTATATTTGTTTGCCAAATGTCATTGTCCCTTCTTTAGATTATTCAGAGTGGCAACTTCAATACTGCTTTGGAAGTGAAAATAGACCTTCACATGAGTCCCATCTTTCAAATTATCTTGCAAAGCTTAGTGCTTGCTATACTGATTGGGTAGTGACCAAAACTTTAGAATGACTTAAAAGTGAACGAACCACTATCATTTTACAATCGTTAATGCTGTTTCGGAAGTGAAAAGAGATCTTTTTATGAGTCCCATCTTTTAAATTATTTTCGTCGGGATATCCTGCTTAGTATACCAATTGGGTAGGGAATAAAACTTTAGAATGACTCAAAAGCGAACGAACCACTATCCTATTACCCTCAATAGCATCTACTACAATGACATCCACATTGGTGGGAACTGGAACTCAGAGACATACCCATCATCTAAACTGGGGTCTTTTTGCCATCAATAACTTGTGCAAGATCTAGGCTTCACTGTATCATCTCTGTATATGCCAGCAAGTGCAAGTGCTGAATCTGAAATTTTTAAGGTGTATCTGGTAAGAATACTGGTTGTGCCCCAAAAAGAAAATGCATACTTATGAGTATTCTCCAGCGTCATGATCTTGGGGTTGGCTGACTTCAAAAGTTGCCGTTTACTGTATAATATTTTTCTCCATGAACACTTGCTGCCAACAATCTAATTTGTGTCTTTAGTAGCTGCAAGAAGATGGCTGGTATGAATTTACCTAAACTAGCAAGGAAACCGATGCATGAGATTTATAGGCTAAATTATATAAATGCCGTTTGAATTAAAGCAATCCCAAAAATTGTAAGCAAACAAAGTTTTTATTTCTCTCATTTTTATGTTCCAAGGATTCATGACGATGGCTCTTTCTTTCAATTGCTAAATAGTATCATTAGTATTTGAACTCTATTTTACTAAACTATATTAACAATAATTCAAAAAGAAAATTAGAAGTGAGGTTTTCCAAAATTTGAATCATGTAATTATTTTTTACGAATTATTTTTTTATCTCCTTTATGATTGGTTAGTGTGGTTTTGCAAACTCTGTAGTTGTGTTAAAACATTTTAAACTATAAGGATGGAATATACTTTTATTGTTTTATTTTGGTTTGTTTTTACTATACTTATTCTTTAATAAATCGTAAGTTTCTTCCTTTAACATCTTATAGTTAGAATTTCACGTTGTAATATATGGTTTTGACCTTTTGATTTTTGGCTTTGTCCTATTCTATTTTTTATGCGGACTGTTTGGATTGTATAAATTTCACACGTCACATAGCAAGGTAGCTAAATGTCAAATTTAAGTGACAAATCACCAAATCTTTCAGACTACTCTGTTTAATATGCGATACTATTGATGGGAGTGGGGGGTGGTCTTTAGCAGAAATGATGCACAGTTGATTGTAATAGCCTCTACTTTTAAGAGTAGCCAAACATTATTGACCACAATGCTGTAACTGCTTTCAAGTCCTGGCTGATCATTGTCTTTATTGCGCTGAATGTCCAATATTTCCTTTAATTGTAAAGTCTATATCAGCAAAACATGGAAATCAACCTTTTTCTGTACTAAAAGATTCTTCCTTTAGCAACAAGGAATAGATTGTATGAGGTGTAGTTATGAAGGAAGAGGAGGAAGAAGAGCCTGCTTGAACTAAATGTTGCCTTCTTTGTGAGATTGTGATTATCTTGGGATCTTATCGCTGAGAGGAGGCTAACTTCTTGAATTAACAGTTATTCTTCTTCTGAAGGAAGGACCGTTCGCAAAAAAGACAAAACGCAATAGAGAATATGGAAAATGGAAAAAAAAGACTAAGAAGCTTGGCTGTATTTACAGTTCATTCCTGTCGTAATTGTTAATATAAGTGCTGGATTGGTGTCCGTATTATATCTGAACTTCGAGAAGAGTACTAAGTTTTAGTTCTATTGCAGGATAGCTTTGGCAGGCTGCATGAGAGGGGCAAGGAAAGCCCCAAAGTGATGAAGCAACTTACTCGACTTTTCCCAAATAAGGTGTCAATCCAGTTACCTCAGGTATAGATCTCTGTAGACCTTCTAGCGGTTATATCCTCCCTAAGCTTCTTCTTGGTAATATTATCTATGGACCTTTTCAGGATGAAGTTTTACTCTTGGACTGGAAGCAACAGTTGGAACGAGATGTTGAAACGATGAGAGCACAATCCAACATTGCTAGCATCCGTTTGGTAAGTATCGTCTTGGCATGCTAATGGGAGTGTCTGAAGGGACAGTTTTTGGGCATTCCATTTATGATTCTCTTTTATCTGTGAGACAACTTTAAGCTTAAATTATCCTCCACTTTCATCTCTTAGGATTTGATAAAGGATTCTGCTTGTTATAAAGACTTATTCCTCATTCTAAGCTCATTGTTGAAACCTTCCTATGTGATTCGTTTTAATTTGTCATGCAACTTGCTTGCTTGTTTCTGATTGCAACTCCCCTCTCTATTTCTCTCCGTCTCTCTTGGGTCAGGTGGCAGGATTTAATGATTTACCTAGAATTTGAAATTGCTTCTTACCAGTAAATGATGCATTTGATGATCTACAGGTTTTGAATCGAAGCGGGATGGACTGCCCTGACATTGAAACTGTGTGCGTTAATGATCAAACACTTGCAAGTGAAAGTTAGTATATTGAGCTTGATTGGGCTGTACTTTCTGTTGTATCGCTCTTCTTCGTTATATATGCAATTGTCGTTTGTGAACTAGGTGTGGAGAAAATAGTTGGCTGGACCGTAAGTCACCACTTTATGTGTTCTTCCGAAGCAGTTGTCAAAGATGCTAAACTCGTGTTGTCCAGTGAAAGGTTTGCACTTTTCAATTCCGAAACAAAATTAGAACTCAAAAGAATTCACTGAGAATACTCTTATAACTTCTGTCCTTGTTTGTGTTATGTGTACTACAGCATTAGGTATGGCATCAATATCTTTCAGGGTATACATAATGAAAACAAGGGCTCAAAGAAATCTCTGAAGGTAGGAGACTGACTCTACATCTGGTTGGCTCATGAGTACCATCTTCTTCTTGGTCCTGATGGAATCTTTAAATTGTTGTAAATACATTTGCCACAATTTTTTTTCTATTGGATGCTCTGATTTTAACTTGAAGAATGCCAGGATGTTGTCACCGAGAATGAGTTTGAAAAGAAGCTTCTTACGGATGTTATTCCTCCCACCGACATTGGTGTTTCTTTTGATGATATTGGGGCCCTAGAAAATGTGAAGGATACTTTGAAGGAGTTGGTAATGCTTCCTCTTCAAAGGCCTGAATTGTTTAGTAAAGGGCAGCTAACAAAGGTGTGGTTCCCCCCTGTTTTATCTCCTTTTCACTTCATTTTTTGGCATGAGTCTGTTCTGTTCTTGACACAACTTCATCAAGCACGTATATTAATATTTATGTATCTGAATGTGGTTGCCTACGTTTCAGCCATGCAAGGGAATACTGCTATTCGGCCCTCCTGGTACAGGGAAAACCATGCTTGCAAAAGCTGTGGCAACCGAGGCAGGCGCAAACTTCATCAATATATCAATGTCAAGCATCACTTCAAAGGTTATTTCTTGACGCTATGAACTTTGCGGAATGTTATGGTTGCATTGCTTTGAAACTGGGTATTGATCATACTTCTGTACTTGCAGTGGTTTGGTGAAGGAGAGAAGTATGTGAAGGCAGTTTTCTCTCTGGCCAGTAAAATTGCTCCCAGTGTTATTTTTGTTGATGAGGTTGGTTGTGTCTCTAAATTTGTTGTGATTTAATCCTTGTCGGTTCATCATGCTTCTACTTAAAGAGTCTATCCTGTGAATGAGTATATTGTTGCTTAATTTAATTTTCCCACTTTTTTTTTTCAGGTTGATAGCATGCTAGGAAGAAGGGAAAATCCAGGAGAGCATGAGGCTATGCGGAAAATGAAAAATGAATTTATGGTTAACTGGGATGGTCTACGCACAAAAGATAAAGAGAGGGTCTTGGTACTTGGTGCTACTAATAGGCCATTCGATCTTGATGAGGCTGTTATCAGGAGGTTTCCTAGGAGGTAAGAATTATAGCAAGTATTTCTCAAGTATTATTTGTTAGTGACATTCAATAAGTTGAAATGCAAATGTTATTTGCAGGCTGATGGTTAACTTGCCAGATGCTCCAAACAGAGAAAGAATTCTTAAAGTCATACTAGCCAAAGAAGAATTGGGCTCTGACATTGACTTGGAAGCAGTTGCAAAAATGACAGAAGGGTATTCTGGAAGTGATCTAAAGGTTAAATTTCGTAATTCAGCCATACACCTGTTGTGTGGGCTTTGAAAAAAAACTTAAGCTTTTCCGCATTTAGGTAATTATTTTAGAACTGAGTAAATGGAGAAACTTAGTCATCTATTGCATTCCCTGTTTGCAGAATCTTTGTGTGAGCGCCGCGCATTGTCCCATCAGAGAAATTTTGGATAAGGAAAAGAAGGTTAGTATATATAATGGTCCCTCATTGTTGATTTACATTCCTTCCGGGTCAATTGATTCCACATATGTATGAAATAATTTCGTTTCTGTTGATTGACTGCACTTAATACTCAGAAGGTGACAACCAACATAGAAGCCAAAAAAAAGTGCAGATTCTCTTTTATTTCTTGTCTTCTCGGTAAATAATTATCTTTACATTGGAAATAATGAAGATGTTCAAGATATACTTCTAGAGCCAACCTTGGATGATGCTTTAGGGTGGTGCCAAGGTTCTCTAACATGCTCCTGTTACTTTATGAATGCCAGAACTTGATTTATCGTGCAGCACCTATGTAACATCTACTCCTGCATCGCTGGATATGATTATTTTTTTTAATGCTTTTCCATTTTAAAATGGCTATGCTCACTTCTAGTTGGAACTTTGCCTCTTGTACTTTTGAGTCATCAGCTTTTAGGGTAGATTTTCACTGCCCGAGAAATGGTTCTGGGCATTTCAGAATAGTATTCTCTTTGTGTAATAACCATGCCACACTTGTGCCTGTCAACACTGACCGGTTGCTTAGCTTTTTGGATTTAAAGAAAAGTAAATTGGCTATGAATCTTAGAACAGCAATAAAATTCTTTCACATTGTCAATGGAAGTCCAGCATGAACGATGTAGTAGATTTGCAGACCATACCTCTGATGAGTTAAGATGGTGGACTCAACGAGAGCATAGAGAGATCGACCTAGATATGACACAGTTGTAGGCAGTTTAATCGTGAGATAAGTCATAACATTGCTATTAGAAAACCTATATGAAGTTTGCATTTAGTCAACATTTTATATTATTTGTAGGAAAAACAAATTGGAAATTTATTTTTTGTGTAGGAAGAACAAACTGGAGTTAGTAAATATACGTTATGAGGAAGAGAATGCATCCTCGTCACAATATATCACTTTATGATTACAAGTGCTTTCTGAGTTCTTTGCATGTTAATCAACACGCTTTTGGAAGTTTTTGAAGCTTTGTTCAGAGAACTACTTAAATTTCATTCTGCCAAATAGATTAGACACAAGCTAATATTGCTGCATGAACTAAGGGTCTTCCCTTTTCGTACCCAAAACTTGTAATACTTGTGAGGCCTTCCTGACATATGAGGCAACTTCATCGTTCCCAGAACATCAAAAAGGTTATTTGGATCAACCAAGTATGTCAAGGCTCTAAGTTTGCCTAAGCCACAGGGAACTTACTTTCTCTGCTTCTGTGTATCTCGCAAGTCAGCCAGTCCCATATGCATTTGCAGAGATAAAAAATGCATGACCACAGATGCATGAGCGATTGATTTATCACAATGTCGAAATTGGTAAACATGATAATAGGTAATCCACATGGAACAACAGTGATGAAATGCATTCTTAAATATTTATGAAGTAAGAGTTAAGTTAGGGTTGATTGACCGAATGAGTTACTACATGTAAAAACCAACTCATAATGGGACTTTATGTGACGGTAAGGGAATATTGTGTTTATTTGTTAAGTACTTGTTGACCTCAGGCTTCATTGGTTCGTTGGAGTTATATTGAAGTTGACAACCAACTCTTTTTACGCAATTTGCAGGAGAAAACCTTAGCTGTGGCTGAAAACAAACCTTTACCTTCATTGTACAGTGGTGCAGACATCCGTCCCCTAAAGATGGTTGACTTCAAAAATGCACATGAGCAGGTATGGCATTTAATATTCTCTCATGCTCTATACAATGAGGCCATATGCATTAAGTCGTTCAAAAACTACCTCTTCCCCAAACCGCACAAAGCAAAAACCCTAGTCCTTTTACATTCCATTTCTGCCTGGGAAGAGGGGGTTCTCACATGCGCTTATTTTTCGAGCAAATTCAACATGATATCTCTACATCTGCCTGGAATTCTTTGAAAATATAGCTTCATAATTTCTGAGCAAGTTAAATAATACCATAATGTGAAGGTTTATATCTAGATATGCCATTGTGATTGCTATATGATATTGTGTAAGAGGTAAAGAAACTCATTCTGGAACCTGAATAAAGAATGTCTGAATCGACAGTGATCAGTGACGAATAGTGGGGACATTTTTCATTTAAAAGATTAAACTGAAAGTCAGATTCCGTTGATGAAAATGATAATAAGTCTTGATTAATTTGTTTCATTCAGAAAGTAGGATAGAAAACAAAGATGTAAGGAAACAGTAGTGATATCGGGTTTGATAAGGTTTGTATGTAGAAAATCTGGGATATAGTTTGCCAGTACTTCTCTTGACAGCTGTTTGGTGCTTTGCTTGTTTGTTCTTTATTAACTGGCACGGACGTGGCTCAATTATAGTATATACAGATCTCATAATGGATGGGAAGTTGATTTTCATGTTTTTCTTTGTTCAAAGGTGTGGTAGTAGAAGTGGTGTAATTGTTACCAAACATGCATGCTTTGAATGTTTTCCCTATCTGTCTGGGCCGACCAGGATTTTAGACAGTTTTGGTGCCCATATCAACACTAGAGCCAATGCCTCTTACAATCGGCATGGAGCCATTGCCATTTCATGCATGGTAGAAAATGTGGAGTTTTTTTTGGTCAAGTTAAGTGTCTTGTCTGGAATGTGGTCAATGACATGTAATGTGAGAGAGGGAGGGAGGGAGGGAGGGAGGGAGGGATTATTTGGTCTTATTTCGGTCCTCCCCACAAAGCTAATCCATTGTGACCCTATTTGCTCATGCATTTTCAGTGGCCACAAATTATGTCGGGGCTGATATAGAGTTTGTGATCTCACTCCTTGGCAGTTCTTCTACATGCCACCGTTTTTGCTTTTTCCATGAGAATCTCTGTACTCCTGTGGAACAATTAATAACTGTCTTTGCAAAATCTTGATCTAGAATGCTTGCTGTAAAACATGACAGTATCTTTTGCCCAAGGATTCCTGCACCTCTTTTTTTTTTTTTTTGTTGGCTAAACTTTTGAACTCGATGTACGACCTTCGTGCAGGTGTGTGCCAGCGTGTCATCGGACTCTACAAACATGAACGAGTTAGTCCAGTGGAACGATTTGTACGGCGAAGGCGGAACGAGAAAAAGGATGTCACTCAGCTACTTCATGTAGTGGAGGTATATATGTACAGCAATTTGTTTAGCTTATATTTTGCTGTCGACAAAGAGTAAGCGGCGTTTGTTAGGGATCAATATGGACGGGTGTGCCATCAACGTTTCGAAGCCCCGACCGTTGTTAATATGATATTATAGGTCTTTCTCTTGGCAATTTATTTTTCTAATTGATGAATCGTAAAGATATCGATCTTGAGTGGATAGTTGATGAAAGCTTTTATTAATTACCCCTAGGCCCTCCTTGTACAGACTCATTGATCCATCAATAAATCAACCATGAAAGCCTCTCTCATAATTTTTAACTATTGATGCGACGTATATAACATCGTGCTCTGTGCTGTTGTGTTTTCGTCACGTCTTTCGACTCTTTCATCAAACGAATCGATGAAGTTTCCATGTCTTAAATTACTTTCTGGATTGGCACTTTTTCAGGATCGATACACCCGAGTCCTTTGAAAAAAAGCCCCTTTTTTCTACTCAAATGATGGGTCAAGTCTCATTCTTATGCAGCAAACTGCAAATGAAGTGGTAGATGATTTTGGTTGTTCTGGATCTTACATCATGTTGCCTTGCATTAGTCATTAGTTTTCATTTGCGTGGGTGATTGGATTTTGTTTCGTGAAAAATGAATGATTTGAAAAATATTTTTTTTGAAACATGATCGTTTGTATCGCTTGAAATAGTTAGTTTAATGAAATTTTTTTTTGTGTCGACGACAATTTATGTTGGAAATGATTTTGTGGTTGGTGAAAATATTATTCGTTTATTCATTTTTATAATCGATACAAGCGATTACTTTCAGGAAAATAATTTTCAAATCATTCATTTTTTGTGAAATAAATGGACCCTAAGATAGTTCTGTTATATGTCATCGAGTGATGATTTGGTGATTGAAGTTTGTGATTTCATAAATATATTTGGTCCTGCATTTTAACGGCTTCATTGATAATTAGTTGTCTATGGCCCCTTCCCAATGAGCTCCAAGTTACCAAACCGCGAAATCAGTTCGTGTTCAGGTTTCCGTCAGTATCTAACCTGAATTTCCGTTTACCCATCTCTCTATCAAAGTTGAAACTCTTCTGCAGATAAACTATCATAGTTGTAGTCAAACCTCATGGTTTAAGGTTTTAAGACGCCGAAGATAGACCGACATGCGAAAGATATGACCGTTGAGTTAGGTCCCTGGAAAGTTTTAGTTGTTTGCTTGTTAAAGAATGTCCCGAGAAAACTACCATTCTCTGCCAAGCGCCGGACTATCCTGTATCACCCCTAGAAAGGGACACATGAATGCGACAGCGTCGATTGCTCGATTGGTCGTCGATACAGGGGGGGGGGGGGGGCCTCTCACATGACGAGCAGAGAGAGAGAGAGAGAGAGACAGCTTCCGCGATGCCGTTTCGGATCGCCTTCCCGAACCCGGAAATGCCCTTTTGTTTTAGGCCAGACAAACGTTTAGATGGGGAAAGGAGGAGGGAAATGGAGCGCGTCCTGAGATTCCTTTCGTGGGGCACACGGCCGATATCGATGTTCGTCTCTTTTGTGACGAAACAGTACGCGGCTGCTTGCTGCACTATTGTGGAATGAGCATTGCCGACTCCCTTCCGTTTTTTGCTTGCATGAAAATGGAGGGCGCATTCATCGGTTAGGCCCGTCCCAAGACAAATCTTATATCGATGAAAACCGTTTGGGTACGACGGCGCCAAAACAAAGTTCCTCAAATTAAATTTTAGTAGGCGGGCAGCCGCCGACGGGCCCGGCGGTGGTTGCTCCCCCATGCATTGGCAAATACAAATAGCACGAATCGTCACCCGTGTGAGCCGAGGCCCGGTGGGGGGACATGGCATCTTGTGTGGGGAGATGCGGCGCTAGCCCGTTACAGGTGCAAATTTAAAAGATATCTTGTTTAAGAAAACCCTATACTTGTACACCCGTGACAAATTTATCCAAAACCAATTTTTTTATCACCAAAAACTCCAAACGGGTACACATGTGATAAAATTTACCCTTCTTTAAATTGAATTAATATCACGAAAAATCATAAACCGGTATATCTGTACCCTAAATTGGTACATTTGACGGCTGTCACGTATCATTTAACTCAGCAATTTGATGGTAAAATTCAACGGAAACTAACGGAGGGTAAATTCACCATAGGTGTACCGGTTTGGGATTTTTCGCGGTATTCATCCAATTTAACGGAAACTAACGAAGGGTAAATTGTAACAAATGTACCAGTTTCGGAGTTTTTGGTGGTCAAAAAAATTAATTTAGGATAAAATTGAGTTTGATGTTTCGAATGGTCAAAAAATTAGTTTGTAATAAATTTGTCATAGATGTATCCGTATGGAATTTTTGGTGGTATTAATTGTGGAGTTTTTCATCATATATATATATATATATATATCCGTAGTGCAGCTCCTCCTGCCCCGTGGGTCAAATCTCTCTCTCTCTAGAGAGAGAGAGAGAGAGAAGTCGTACCTTTTGCACTGCACCATTGGACCAACGCCAACCATCCCTCCCTCCCTCCCAGCCGCCCCTTCCATAATCTCTCTCTCTCTCTCTCTCTCTGCGATCTCCCATCTCCGATCCGATTCCGCCGCCTCCCGCTCCTCCGCCGCCGCCGCGCGCCGCCTCGCCGGAAATGGACGTCATGCGCCACTGCTCCTCCTTCCTCCTCCCCTCCTCTCCCCCCGCCGCCGCCGACGGCGACGGCGACGACCGGGCCCCTCCGGCTTACGCGCTCGTCTTGCTCAACCAGCGGCTCCCACGGTTCACTCCCCTGCTCTGGAAGCACGGTACTTCGTTTCTTCTTTGTCGCCCCCCCCACCACCGGCCGGTGAATCCGTTTCTTCGGTTGTCGGTTTTTTACCGTTTGTCCGGATGTCGGTTCGTTTGACTCGGATTTTTTTTTCCTCCTCCGCGCCTTGTGTGTTCGTGTGTTCTGTTTAGAGCAGCACGGATACGTATGTGTGCAGACGGCGGCGCGAATCGCGTGTACGACGACATGCCCGGCTTGCTCCCGCACGAGGACGCCGTCGCTGTCAGGAACAGGTCGGTAGTTCTGCTGGTTTGGCTTCGGTATGCGTTATGTCTGATCGGTGCGGGCCTTTTGTGTTTTTCCTGAGTTCGAGGCATCCGCCGAGAAGAAACTCGCGTGTTTCCGTGGACTTCATTTTTGACATACTTGTGTTTGCATTGTTTGATATTAAGCTATCGAAGGGAAGTAGGTGGTGATGGGAGTACGTGACCGCATATAACTGGAATGATTGCTGTTGCCATTGTGTTGTCTCTTTAACCGTTCGCTTAAAGGCTAGAGCCTGTGGTGGGATTAGTTTCAAAGGCCTCAAATTGGACAGAGATTTTTAGTAGGGTAATTGTTGTGCGAAGCCACGGTAGTTGAGATAAGATACTTTGGTAGGTAACAGCAGAGAGGATAGATGTGGCTCGCTGTTTTTCGAAAAGAGCGAAAAGGTTGCACCCGTTTATGTTAGAGTCTGGGCTTGTTTCAAATTTTCACCACTCTGGTCATCGTTTAGGCCTCTGCTAGAACAAACTGACAACTACATGGATATGGAGGTGTAGAGCAGTTTGGAGCACAGTTTCCTGTAAATTTATACATTTTATGTGACCGCGATTCTCCTCCAATGTTTGTTCATCCTCAACGTTTTGGATCAATTTTAGGGGTTGCATGTTCCAATATGAAACCTCTAGTGATCTCTTGAGCATCCAGAGCAACTTCTCTGAGTGAAGAGAATGGTTGTTTTTACCTGTCAGTGCCGGCATTCACTACTGCTACTGTCTAGGGTCGGGAAATGGTTAGTCTCAACTAGGCTTTGTTGGGTGGAATGAGCAAACTTTTTATTTTTATTGCTGCATGTGTAATGCATAGTGGACCTGATTTTGTTCCCAAGTTCCTCATGTCTTGTGTAAACACATTGTTCAAACCCATTTTGCTCTAGATGAGCCTCCCACTTAGCTTAAAAACAATATAGAACCTGTTCTTATGTTTGACATACATGAGATGAGCTTTCAAAATATTTTTTTCCTTCTCTCTGCTTTCTAATCTGATATTAAATTATATAGAAATGGGCTTTTGTGCTTGGTTATTGTTGAGGAGTCTTCTTTAATGGTCAATTTTGAAGAGAGACGGATAAAAGTCTAGATTGTAGGAGTGGCAAGTAATTTTTTTTTAAAGTATCAAGTAGATAATATCAAGTTTCCGAATATTTGATTGCCTAAAGCACTACTTATGAGAGTTCTTTCCTTTTTTTATTTTTTGTTAGAAAATCCTAAAAGCTTAAACCGTTAGGTAGAGGAAGACTAATTGTATATAAGGCACATTATAACCACGTATTTAAGTAATGTGGGATTGTACCCAACACTTCTTAAGTATATCATCCATGGTGGATACTTTTCACTGTTGTTATTTTTGGTGGTTTTCATTGGTCAAAACAGCCTCTGATTGAGTATGTAAAAAACTGTGTTCCTAAGAAAAAAAAAGTGTTTTTAACCGACAATATTTCACTCGTTGAAGTTCTCAATAGTATTGTTGAACATTTTCACCATGTCAAGGCGATTCAATTGACCGGCAATTTAGGGTTCTCATCTTCTTCTTCTTCTTTTCCTTCCATATATGGATTGCCACATTAAAGGGCAGATAAAAATAAAACCATACTAGTAATAGAATTGCAAGTATACCCAACCGAAATCTGCATAAGCAAGGAAATCCACTGATTTAATCTGTGATATGGTACCCAAAATTACTAGGTATACTTACTGCTGTTTTTGCTCAAAAAACTATGTAAAGGTTACTTTGATCGTATATTCTGCAAGAAACTGCATATCGTTTCTGTTGCATATTTTGAAAGCAATTTCTTATCATTTAGTTTGGATATTATGCAGCCATTACTTCTCATTTTCTGTTCTAAGTTGAACATGCAAGCTGCTGTTAGTCACGATCATGAATAGCAAATTAGGAGTCACTTTTCAATGTTGGCACCTTTGATCCATATAGGAAAGTAAGAACCCGGCAGTAACAACATGATTAGTGGATCTTGAGATGACGATTAGGACCTGAATGGATACTGATCTGCTATTAGCATACGGTGAACTCTTGACTGGTTGGCCAGTAAATAGCCTCAACTTTTCAATTATGGTTCAATGTGAGACCTTTGTTAAAATTGCGGACGGATAATGCCAAATTAGACACTAACACTGGTAAATAGCCGTTAATTATCGACATTAGCATCTGATGTGATTTCTTGAAATGATGCCATGTCAACAGAGACATATTGGATGGCCTAAATCATCCAGGTTAGCATCTGATGTGATTTCCAGGTTTTCTGTTAAACCAAAGAAACTCGATTTTATATGGTTCAAGTTTCTACCTAGAATGCCTATTACTTCAGGCCAATGTGTTATTTTGAGTATGTCATGAAAGTGAAACGCAGTATAAGTCATTGCATGTCCATCAACTAATTACTCCATTGTCAATGTTAGTGAAGCGAGTGGAACTTTTTGCATTTGTCTTATTAAAAAATAGAACTTGGGTTTCTAATTAATACTTCTCTGCCAGGTGGATTTTTTATGATGCTTAATTGGTGCTATTCCATGTTTCTCTTGTTTTTCTTCCATAGATCCTTTTGCTCGTGATAGGAGTGATTTGTTTGTCGTGTTTACTCTGAACTATGAAAAGCATATGCAAGTTTCCCTGAGAGGAGGACATATTTACTAGTTATACCATCTGCAATTGCCTAAATCTTGAGAGCTTTATTACCAATTATAACCTCAAATTCTTCAAGCCAACCATATACTTCATTAGACTAGGTAAATAAGTAGTAGGCCTGCTTAGAGATCTGTTGATTAGTCATACTTGCTAGAGGCTTTCCTAGTGAAAATTGTTCACATCCACTTATCTGTATAATTAGACAAAATAGGCTGGCATTCGTCCTTTCAGAAATCATTAGTCTCTAACTTAGCCGAAATGCCATGCAGCAATCATTGTTAGAGCTTTTGAGTTTTTAATGCTGGAGGTTTGACTAGTAGTTGACTAGTAATTGAATTCGAACCTATCCATGATTGAAGTATATATACTATTTTATCTCCCAGGTTCAGTAAGTACTGCAGATCAGTCTATGGCAGTTATTTCCAGTTAAGAATAGGTTTGTCTTGTAAAGCAGATAAACTCGGACTAACTTTTGTACTTCTTCCAGGTATAAACCTGAAGTCATAAAAGGAGATATGGATTCGATTCGGACAGAAGTAATGGATTTTTACAGAAAGCTGGTATGGAAACTTTTCTGCTGAAGTATGTATTGATCGTTCGTGATTTCCCCTACAATGGAGAAAAAATGCTGGAAGTCCTAAATCTTATGTATGAATCGCAATTGGTCCTGAACCTTTTCAATTGATGCAATCAAGTCTTAAATATTTACTGAATAGTGCAATCAACTCCTAATGCATATATGTAAAACTGCAACTTTAGGTCTCCAGGTAGGCAATTTATGAATGTCATGTTGGCCAATTTCTTGGATTGTTCATTAAAATGACTTGATTGCATTTTTAGAAAAAAGTTTATGATTTGATTGCACCAATTTTGAAAGGTTTATGACTCAATTGCATTCCGTAAACAAGGTTAGAACTTTCAATATTCTGCCCCCGCCCTTCTTCCAAAACTATAGAACCAAGGGATCTTCATCTGCTTACTAATTTTTCCCATTTTCTATTCCGACCCACTTAAGATGACTTTAGCTTGAGCTTTCATGTTACTTACAACTCCCCCAGTATCTTTATGTGTTAGCCAAAATCCTTAAACGTGTGGTGCTTGGTTTGGTAGGCTGATGTTATCAAACCTCTGCTTGTGTCATTGCTGTTCAGGTATTATGCTTGGGATATTGATTTCTGTGCTTTTGAACAGGGAACAAAAATTGTAGATGAATCTCATGATCAAGACACTACTGATCTTCACAAGTGTGTGTCATACATCCGTGATTTTACACCCGAGTTGGATAAATCTAATGTAAGTGAATTCCTATCAGTTGTTCTTTATTGTTGTTAGTACTTCATGTTCGCTTTTTCTCAAACACTGAGTTTTCTGCAAATTAGAGATTTCATACAACTAATAATTTATGTTTTTGACATATCGGAAGCTATGTATTCTTGTTGCCGGTGCACTTGGTGGACGATTTGACCATGAGATTGGAAACATTAATGTGCTGTGTCGTTTTTCGGACACGCGAATTATCCTTATTTCGGATGATTGCCTAATACAATTACTTCCGAGGACTCACCGTCATGAGATCCATATTTTGTCATCTGTTGTGGGTCCGCATTGTGGACTCGTTCCTATCGGGATACCTTCCAAAAGTACTACAACAACAGGTCTCCAGTGGGATCTAGGTAGGTTCTTTTTCAACTTTTTCGCTTGCGTGCCATTGTGTCCTGGACAAAATAAATGAACGCTTAGTGCCCACTGATAAAAACAGTATTATTCTTCGGCAGCATGATATAATCGGTTGCCAAGATTCGGCTAGTTTTTTTTCTTCTAAATTATTGCCATTGTTTGTCCTCTCATTATGAAAATCTGATGAATCAAGACTGTCTGTCGCAGCTGACACGGAGATGAAGTTTGGTGGCTTAATAAGCACGTCCAACATCGCCAGAGAGGAGACAGTTACGGTTCATTCTGATTCAGATCTTCTTTGGACAATATCCATTAAAAAGCCTTGATTTGCCTCTTGGTGCAAGGCGCACACGAAATCTGTTTAGCATTCACATTCACACATTCACAGCGAATTCATGGCGGATTTTATACGGTCGATAGCATAGAAAGATTGAACTTCTCGTCTTCTCGGCTGATTTTCGATTTAGCTCATTGGATAATGCAAAAATCACTTGCTCCCTTGTGCATCCAAATAAGATGAGGCGGTTTATCTATTTGGACTCTGTATTTGTTGTGTGATAGGCGTCATCGCAGCGCATGTATTGGTGAGTTTGTTCCAACACCTTTGTAAAGGGTATAGTTCTGCAGATCTGCGTTAAGTAGTAACAAGAACACGAAACCAAACTGCTCTCTCGAGTAAAGAAGTCGGAGTAAAGAAGTGATGCCGGAGCTTTGCCTTAGCGGCCGACCCTTCTCTCACGAGAAGCGGGATGCGGGATGTTCGACTCCCACTTCCGTCACAGTGAAATCATACATCCTGATGATTTGGATGACTTGTTTATCTCTAAAAACTCAAATCGTGCTTACGTCCTTCGAAATCATTGTAAATACCAATCTTCTTTCGCTTCTCCATCGACCCCTCATCTTTCCTTCCATCGTTGTCGCGACATTTTTCTTCCCATGTCACTTGGTCCGTCTTGTGTTTCGGAACCCATTCTTCTCTGGTCGTCCTGGCTTCAAATGCCGCATGTCGGCTCATTAACGGGCATTCAAGTCCAATGGAGGCCTCACGAAGGTACGAGACCCGACGGCATCAACCGGGAGCGACCGCCTGCGCGAGGTGTTTGTAAAGCGAATACCCAATGGTTCTGCCGGGTGGGACATCGGGATAGCATGAGCACACGGCGGCGTGATTAGGGATGACGACGACTATCGGGTTGTTCAAGATAATTTAGGCATATCGCACGGGTTGATCGACTAGTAAAACAACATGAAATGCAACGATTCGTTGTCCTCGAGCACGATCACCTGTGCACTGAACAGAGCAATTAGAGACCCATCTAGAGTACATGTACAGTCTTCAGTCTTTACACCTCCGACAATTAAATTAATACTTCCTAAACTTTATTTTATCTTAATTTTTATCAAATCAATCACATTCTAACAGAAACAATCCCTTCTCTAGTTGCTGATTAGTATGATACGACATTGAAATCACACGATTAAGACAAGTCATCAACTGGGAGTAAAACTGCATATTTGATTGATTGACTGAATCAAAAACTGTCAACTTTCTTACACAGCCGAAACAGGGAAAGTAAAAGAAAATTTCTGTCCATTGAGAGACTGTACAGAGATAATACTTTCTCCAGTTCTACAGGGATTACGCCGAGGACATCGGCTCGTTCTCTTTCTCCGGCCACCTCCATACGGTGACGGCGCCACTATCATCACCGGTGAAGAACAAGCCGCCGTCGCCGCCGGTCTGGATGTCCCTCACCTCCTTCCTTGCGAAGATCCTTCCCCTCTCCGCGAACGACGGCAGCTCGTACGCGCGGACCGCGCCGTCCTCGCAGGAGCAGAACACCACCGGCCTCGCACCTCCGTCGTGCATGCCGAAGAGCCTCACCACGCCGTGGCTCTCCTCGCGCTCGTACACCGGTTCGAGATCGCCCGCCTGGCCGTCCTCCCTCTGTCCCCACACCTTGACCTTCTTGTCCGTCGAGGCCGTGATCAGGTAGCGATCCCAGCACAGCAGCGACGTCACCGCGCCGGAGTGAGCCTCCAGCGTCCGCACGCACTCCAAGGTCGCCGTGTCCCATACTCTAACCGTCGAGTCCATCGACCCCGAGTACAAGAATCCGTTGCCGATCATGAGCGAGATCACCGCGAGCCGATGGCCTTCGAGTTTCCCGGCGAAGTGGAAGGGGTCCCCGGCGCCGGAGTCGGGAGGCATCCGCCAGGCGAGGACGGAGCCGTCCTGAGCGCCGGCGAAGAGCGTGCTGTTGCCCACGATCATGGCGTAGACTTGCCCGACGACCCCGGCGAGGGAGAACTCGGCGGCGGTCGACGCGTTGAAGGCCTTGACAGTGTCAGGGACTCCGACGAATACCCACGGACCTTCCGTGACGAGCGACCCCACCTCGCGCCCGACTTGGAACACACCGTCGCACGCGCCGGTGCCGCAGTCCCACGAGCGGACCGTGCCGTCCCGAGAGCCGGAGAAGAGCCTGCCGGTGCCCGAGGGGAGGCCGACGCCGGTGACGGCCTCCTGGTGGCCGTGGAGCTGGGCGACCACGGAGAACTCGCCCCCGCGGGACCACGAGTGCAAGAACCGGCAGTTCTCGCCGCGAGCGCAGTCATTCCCGGAAGTCCACCGATGGCATAGCTTGTCTTGTTTCTGCGGCTGTTGCTCCCGTGGCCCATGACGACGATCCTGATCATCCTGCGCAACGCGGTGGTAGGCGTGAGACCGGCGCTGATAATGGTGGTGACGAACCTCGGGTCGGCTTCCTCCGTCGCCGCCGCCGCCGCCGTGCAGGAAGCGGCACGGGTCTCTGGAGCAGTGTCCGGCGAGCCAGTGGTGGCAGACGCCGGTCTTCTCGGCGTAGGTCGTCGGAGGTCTCGCGCCACGCGACCACGGCGTTCGCGTTTGGGAGTTTTGCGATCTGGGCATCGCCGTCGCCATGGCCAAGCGATGGAAACGGGCGATGGAGATCGTAAGCGATGTGGGTTTAGGGTTTTTGGGCTAATATGTTCTTTGCTGAGTTTTATACAGAGAGATGTCGAGGAGGAAGAAGATGGTGATGGAACTTGGTACGAGATAGGAAAGTCTGAGATTCAAAGACGATACGTGACCGTTGCGGCTCTAGGGACAATCTTTGCGCGAAGAGTATAATAAGGTTGTAAGAACATAAATAAATGGTCTTTCTCTTTTTTTATAAGCTTCTGAATAATGACCCTTTTAATTCTTTTTATATATAAGTAACCCCTCTTTGCTCCTTCCCATACGCAGTGACTATTAGCAAGAAATCAAAACTCTGCATCGAATTTTCGAACCGATGGATAGCTTGTCGTCTCGTGAAAATATAAATTATGAATCTAAAGAACTGATCTGAATTAATAATCAGGAAGGTCATACGAGTTTATGATGTTCTTGAGGGACTTATCTTATCTTACGGCCACAAAATCATGGCAACAGGGTTGGAAAGTTTTGAAGATCGAAGATGGTCTTGACGACCGAGATGTGAGATCTGATGAGAGATGTGATCGATGCAGTGGATCGCAACCCTTAATCTTGATACGTATGTAATAACAGGCTCGAGGGAAAAAATACGAGCATGCCCCATTTACATTTTACAAAATTATTTTCATACATAATTTGGCTCCTAAGTCAATATAGATAATTCCGCGTCGTCCTGCCATTGATGACCACATTTAGGGCAAGTAATTAAGATTAAAAAAATCCGATTATTCACACGTGGCGGAAGATGACCCGCTTCAGTTTTTGTAAGAAAAAAAACACGTAGGAAATATCTTTCTTTTCAAAATAAAAAAAAAAAACTCAGTAAAATATTTTTTTTTATATGATATTAATAATTGCTCGGCCTGCCAAAGAGACCAAAAACGACGTCGTTTCTCGACCGTCGTCCTCCCTACCTAAACCCCCGGTTAAACCCTCTCGAATCGCAAACCCTAATTTTGCAGTCGATTCGCAGTAGAGAGAGAGAGAGAGAGAGAGAGAGATGGGGAGGTCGAGGAGGAAGTACAAGAAATCGAGGCCGAAGGTCCGCGTCGCCCTCCCGAAGAAGAACCCCAGGGTCGTCAAGGCCGCCTTCAACCTCCCCCCGAAGCTCCGGTCCTTGATCCGTGACTCCGTCGGCGGCGGCGTCGAGTGGGACGACATGGGGAGCGTCCTCCGGAACTACAAGTCCTTCGGCGTCGTCTCCAACCCTAACCTGCTCGGGGTCCGGTCCCGCAACGCCCACACCGTCGAGAGCGGCGCCCTCCAGGTCCCGCCCCCGCCGCCTCAGCCGTCCGACGAGGCCGCCGGGGCTGCGGAGTGCGACATGATCGACTCGGGCAGCGACCTCGAAGAGGACGGTGAGCGATTCGTGTTTCCAGGGTGTTGAGCTTCGTTCTGCCATTGCGTTTTGGGCTCGAAATGGAGTCGCCGTTGTTGGAGTATGTTGGTTTCACATTTGATAAATGTAGGGATTGATTCTGGCTGATTTGATTGAAAGAAGCAAGCTTGACTAACTTTAGAAAGGTGGGGAGTTGGATATAGTAGCATTGGCACTAATGGAAAATGGTAGTTCGACATATATGGATTTGAAATTCTATAATTGTGGTTCCGGAGAATTTTCTGCTGTTACTATCCATCTGCCGAAAATTATAAGCTCCGCAGCGTAGTATAATTCTTATTCTTTGTGAATGCTTCACATGGAGCAGCAGACAACAATTTCTTCAGGGGGTTAGCCTGTTAGAGACAATTCCTTTTTCATCTACCATCCTGTGAGATACACTTTTCATATAAATTTTCTAGTTTTGAAAGCATTGCTGATTAGCCCTAGAAGTCGAAATTGAGTTGAGTAGATACAGGATGATACTGGAACTTGACTAAGCCAGCCATGTGAATTTCCATTTTTTAACCGCTATCTCTGCTTATGGAGAACTATGATTGGATTCAAAGTTCAATTTTGTGGAACCTTTTCCTTGCAAACTCTTGGTCTGTGAAGTGTGAGATATAGATGGAGATCAAGATTTACAAAACAGAATCAAAATCTCATCTGCTTTATCAGTCTCCCTATAGCTTCATTCTTGAATAATTGCACCATTTGCTGCTTTCATTCTACAGGGTTGAGGATGCTGTAAGTAGAGTTGTAAAATTACTGTTCATGACTTATTTAGAGTACCTTGCAAACTGGAGTACAAGATTAGCTAGTGATTCTGATTCATGTTGTACGCATATTTAGGATAACATCTGTTGATGTTTTCCTTGTGATATAATTAGAAAAATATCAATAATTAATTGGGTCTTTTGAAAGGTTCTCCTTGAGAGATTTAACTAATAGGGTTTTTTTTTTTGTCGTAGTGTAGATTGTTTGAATATGATCGAATGTGTTGGAAAAAATTGGTTTTGTTTAACGAAAAGATGGGGAGATCTAGGTCGTTCATCATTTCGATATATTCTCATGTTTGTAATTATGGTTGTAGATCTATACAGACATTCTACCAAGCTATTGTATATTGTATATAAGACTCAAACTGATGGTGTTCCACGTTTGATGTTTTGGTGTTTCAAGAAACTAAAGTTCTGTGTTTGGTTCTGCAACTTTAGATTGTTGCTAATTTTTTTTGTCCAACAGATTTGAAATCAGCTCTTGGGAAGAAAAGAAGAGATGGCAAATCCGCGCCTTCGCAGCCATTGACTGCCATGCAACGTGTTCACGTCGGGCGGCTGATCGAGAAACACGGAGATGACTATCAGGTTTTTCTCGGATCGAATAATTCAGCTACATGAACGTTCTGCTGTTTGTGCAACTTGTGTTGGTTATAATGCTCTTGTTTTCCTCAGGCGATGTTCCGGGACATGAAGCTGAACGCAATGCAGCATTCAGTCGCAACTTTGGAGAAACTGTGTAAAAGGTATTGCATGTACACAGATAAGAACCCTTTGATACTTTCTCGGTAGAGGTCCGGTTTGTGCTCCTTAAGACCGGCGGAATATGCTGTAATCCATTAACACTCTTTCAAGGGTGCATTGTGCTTTCAAATTTTGTTTAGCATTTTGTTCATGGCTGATCGATGTACTCCCCTGTCTTCCCAATTCCGGGGGAATCTCTTCAAAGAGAAGTTGGGGCCATGACACTTATTTTACCCATCACACCCTTTAGTTGTCAAACCAAGATACACAAGTTGTGCATGAAAGGCCTCTTTCATGAACCATTAAGCGACAAGCATGTAGGCAGGTTTTTCAAGATAATAGAAGATATGGCTGAATTCTATCTTATATTAGAAGGATTGGGTGGGAAGAGTGATGGGGTGACGTGGCTCACTAGGAATTTTTAATGGATTTTTATTTTCGTTTTATCACTCTACTGCTTTTCACCTATCCGACATTACTTTTATCTTGGAAAAAAATATTTAAAATATAGCCTAATATAATATATTAAGTTAAGTTTAGTGAAGAGGCGATTTGTGAATTTTTTTTCCTTAAATGTCACCATATAATTATGTATATTCTTAATTTTTACCCACCATGAAATTACTATACTAATTATATATATATGTTCTAATTGATTTGAACCGGAAAGATGATTATGGACGGTGGTAGGGTAACGTGTTGCTCCAACAAAGTGATTCATATTTTTCTAATAAAACTATACATTTCTATTCTTATTTTCTACACAAACAGAGACTTTTGTATAATAAAACCAGTGACTTCAATTTTTAAATGGCAAATGATGGTGTATTATGTACTAGAAATTTTGCATTGAGATTTCTTCTTCCTAATAGTTCCTACTTTATCTTGATGCTCACTTTCTATATAACCTTAACATCTTAATAAGAAAAAATCAGATATTTCTGCATCATCGTTTCTCCCTGGTGTCCTAAGTTCTCCCTAAGTACGTATATATATATTTTCACGTCCAATCCAATTAGCTTTGTCGAGCTTATTAGGGCTTCGTTTGATTTGCGAAAAATAAATGATTAGAAAAATAATTTCTTAAAATGATCGTTTGAAATATTTACAATAATTTATTTTCAAAAACTGGTGGATGGTAAAAATATTTTTCGTTTATTATATCGGGCGATATTTTAAGGTTATATTTTTTTAAAGGTGAAATCAGATCATTTATTTTCTGAAAATATTTTTCATTCGTTTATTTTCCGCGAAACAAATACATTCTTTTTATTTATAGGTTATTATTTTAAGGTATGACAAATATTCGATTTGATGACTTTGAGGAATTAATGACGTTACAGCTACATTACAGTAAATTAACATGCTCATCGTAATTTTATCGACCAGGATTCCTGAGTAAATTTTGAGAACAGAATGTGTTTCTTGAACTGGCAAGGTGCTGGACTTTGCCCGAGCATGGCTGGGCTTAGTCAACATACCATAGAGTTCCATGACCAATCATGGAAGACACTCAGATTCAAATGTACATGTTTATGTGTTCATAAGTAACAGAAGAACAAGCCCAAGAACGCAAAATTTCATAATCTTGGCGTTCAAGGTGAGAAAGTTTCAGCAGTGCAGCTTAATCGCATGACTACAAACATAATTGCATTGCCAATACGCAACAGAGGAATCGATCGCGTTAAATGGAAACCGTCTTATTACACGCCCATGAACGCTCGGCACTGCGATTCCCAGTGCTCCTTCGCCTGCCGGATCCTTTCGACTCGCTCTGTTTGAAGCCTCTGCGTCCAATACTCCGGACAACTGTTTGAATTAACAGTGTGGTGAGAAGGCAGAGAGTTACCAGGGAAATCGACTATTCTAAAAATGAACCGAGTTCGCGCAGTGGCATACCTTCTGCTGAGCAATATATTGAGCTCATCCAAATGTACAGCGCCTTCAAAAACTCCGGCCTGAAATGAAGCAAAGAAGTGATGAGCAACTAACTAGTCTGGTTATGTGCTCCCAATATCCAAGTGAAAACCAACTGTACTGATTCTGTCCTGAACATTATTGAATGGATTACGAGAATCTGTATGGACAGAGTGAAGTCATTGTCCAAATAAGACATGAGTACTCAGTTCTTTTCATGCAGCAGAAACAAAAAATTACATTCATTCTTATATGATGAAAAGGGATGAAGTTGTAAACGGGTGTCAACGCCAATGACCTGACATGTTTTGGTATATGCTCTTATGATCAGTAGAAGCCCTTAATAACTTCTTTCGCATTCGGCATTCTCTTTTGGATGTCTGATGCTGCTAAATGTCGGACAAGAATGAACCATTATCTTCCACAAGTATCTAGGAGTATAAGTTCTATTTTCTCCCAAGCTAAGTCCAATCCAATTACTGAACAAACTGAAAATTACGGAACAAGAAGATAACAACAGATCAATACCTCTCGACATAAAGGACATTTTTCCTTGGGTTCTGCTGCTTTCAGTCCGTCAACAATCGTAACGGATGCAGCTGAGCAAGCACACATATAGCAGTATATGTGGCCACAAGCGAGAGAAACTGGATCAAACACCGTGTCCTGTTTTTCCAAGAAAAAGTAGATTATCCATCTGCTACATGTACACTAATTGACATATTCTCTCATTGTTTGATCAATTCTTTAACCACGATGACATCTTTTTTATTATTCTTCCTCAAAATGATGAAAGACGATGTTTAAATATGTTAAAAACATGGCCACCCAACAGTACTAGTAGCCCTTGAATTTCATACAATGACATGGATTCAGCGAGTAAAGTCCATTTATGCATAAAGCTAATGTCTCATGGGGAAACTGAAGATTCGATTACTTTCTCATACAAATATATGTTAACACAAATGCACTTGCAATTTTGGGAACTCACCAAGCATATAGAGCAGGTCAAGTCGATATCTAGCTTGATAGAGTCGAAGAGTTCACAAGAGAGCGATGGTTTGTCGTCATTGATTACTAGAGAGCAACCCTCAAAAAGGGCAGGGCCCTTCCCAGAGTTGGCCTTTGTCTCCCTTATATTAATGTGGAAAGCAATAAGCTCGCACAACCACGGAGACTGGAGGATCTCCATGTGCATCCTTTGTGCTTGTGACTTGAAAGCTTGTCCTTGAGTAGAGAGATGAATCTATAAAATCGTCGGGGGAAAAGCTTAGCCAGGGCGAGTATATAGGACAAGATTCATGGTAAGATGCTTGAATTCTTTAATAGGGAAACGTAGAAGTAACATGCAAATTTTTCTCTATGCTAAATTATTCAAAGTAAACATAATTTTGAAGTTTGGTGGTGGCTGGTATAGCTGCAGTCTCTCAGCTCTAGGGTGAATACTGTAGAACCACCAATACCTTGTCATACTTCTTCAATATCTTCCTGATGGCTATTGCATTTATCAGCGCATAAGTGACCAGATCTTTTCCTTCTTGAATTAAAGCGACATGGTTTCCTCGAAGCTTGCCTTTGAACCATATCAAATACTTCTGAAATCCCGAAGCCAGGTGAAGCTCAAGCAACTTCTGCGCCTGCTTGTTGAAACAACCTAAAACAGCAGACATCTCCTCGAGAAGGGAAGGGAAGAAACTTCCATCACACACTGCAAAATCAATTCCTAGACTGAGCAAGAAAGAAAAGGCGAACTCATGGATAATCGATGATCGTAAAAGCAGATGGTTAACATAAACCACGGAATCTGGGGATTGAAATGGAACTTTTTTCTGGCGGATGGAAAGAAGTGGAACTAAGAAGGCTAAACATGCACTGAAACTATCAGGGGATTTTTCTCTTTCCCTTCTTTTTCAAGTATTTTCACTTCTGATGAGCTTAAAAGAATCAACAACGGATGGATGTTGGCAAACGGATACTAATTTAAAACCGAAGGCGATTGAAATTAATGAAATCTCCTGGTGCCTGGACTCTTTAAGAATGCTCCATAGTTTTCTTTTCCTTTTTCTTTTTCTCCAGCCTTTTTATAATTTTAATCCTATCAATCACCTCCTGAACTTAAACTTAACAGTGCAGGGACCTCTGCTTCAACAACAATCTGACATAATAACCCTTCAGTCATTTCACTTCATCCCCATTTCACTCTTGTTTAAGAGTGCAGTTCTTTCCTCGTATAATTCCTGGAAACCGAGAAGTCCTCCCTCACTCTCTCGCTCTCAATCAGCATTAAGATGGCTGAAATATTCTTGCAATTCACAAAGTCAACTAGACCGCTTCCCACAGCCTGTCTGTTTATATCGAGGCTTAAGCCAAAGAAAAACCAGCAGAACATTTCAAAGAAGCAACGAGAAGCAAATATTATCCACGGCGTCAACGTTGGCTCCATCACTTGAAAATGACGTTTCCGTGCACAGTTGTCACCGTTAGGGTGTCGAACCGAACCGAAAAACCGAACCGAGATACAAACCGAACCGAACCGAACCAAAAATTTTGTGCATTTCGGTTCGGTTCGGTTTTCGGTTCGGATACTAAAAACCATTCTTTTTCTTTCGTTCGGTTTATTTCGGTTCGGTTCGGATCGAACCGAACCGAAAACACACCCTTTGCTTTTTACCCTAAAAGGTTCTTCGAGACCGGTGCTACTCTCTCTGGCTCTTCGTCTTCCTCAGCCTTACTTCCCAGATCTTGGCCCCGTTCCGTCAAGAAGAGCTGGGACACTATCAACCTCATCCTCGTCCTCTTCGCCATCATCTGCGGGTTCCTCAGCAGATCCAACCACGGCGGAGATGCGGGATCGTCGGCTCGTACCGAGGTCGGACTCGCGGAAGTCGTCGTCGTCGTCGAACCCGGCGACGCCTGTACAAGTGGTACGACAGCCTACGACCGTCTGAGCTCCGATCGGGCGAATATGGGTTCTCCTCGAGTTCGTCTGAGAGGATGAGAAACAGACGCTCATACCGGATCGAGGGACGCTTGATTTACCTTTGTGTCTCTTCTTCCCTCGCTTCACCAAAGGGATGCGGAGGTGGAGGGCTAGGAGTGGGTTAGGCAAGCTCGTGGATGGCCTCGAAATGGAGAGGGAGGCTTTGAGCAACGAAAACCCTGCAGCTCCTTCCTATACGCCGAGTCTCATCGGGCCCCGAGACGGGGACTTGGCGGATTCGAACAAGCTGCAGAGCCTCTGGACCTTACCTTTGATGGAATCGCCGGTGGTCATGAACGATTCGAACGAGCTGTAGATGCACGGAACCAGCTCACTCGAAAGAGGGCTTACCGCCACAGTGGCTTTTCCGCGCGGCTCCGCGCACATGGTGACCGACCGGCGATCTCCACTTCCGTTCGTAACGAGAAGTTGAAGTTGCAGAATGAGAAGTTGGTCAGGAGAAAGAGGAAGGGGAGAGAGCGAGCGATCCAAGCGGCGATGAATAAAAAGCAAAAAAAAAAAAAGAAGAAACCGAAAACTGATCGAACCAAACCGAATTAAACCGAACCAAATTGATTTTTCGGTTCGGTTCCAATTCTGGTTCAAGGGGTTTTTGGTTCGGTTCAAGAGGGCACCCTTAATGAGTTCGGTTCGGTTCGGTTTTTCAAGAAAACCGAACCGAACCGAACCGTTTACACCCCTAGTCACCGTGATAGACATGCAAGGCGGCTCCAAATGAAAAAAACAAGAAAGAATTCAGGCCACCACCTCCATGAGAACACAACTTACCCAAACAGCAGATTCATATCTACGCAAGCACACGAATTCATCGATCAACATTGCAGACACACCACAAGAAAAAGCACACAGAGAACAGATAAAAAATGGAAGGGGGATTGAAGAGAAACGAACCAGAGCAGTGAGCAGGGCAAGTGTGGGGATCATCGACGGCTTGAAGGGCCTTCTGGGAATGGAGCGAGTCCCTCCTCCTGCACCGCTTCAAGATCTTCTTGAGCTTCTTGAACCCAACACCAGGGAGCTTCTTCCCTTCTTGTCCCTGCATGTACTCCTGGTACTTCTTGCAGAACTTCATCCTCCCTCCCTCCGTCCCTCCCTCCCTCCCTCTCTCTCTCTTCTGTGTGTGCTGTTGGGTGTTCAAATCGATCCTCGTTTTTGGCAAACGACGCGAGATTGTGTACGACGAGGAAGGAGGAGGAGGAGTCGTCTTGTTGCGGTGGAGGGTTTCTGCGGAAGAGACGAGAGACGTAGCCGATGTACACGAAGGAGGCCAGCTTTTGGAAGGGTGGTGCGCTGATTTTAACATTCTAATATATTATATAGTCATGAGGGGGAATTAATGTATTATATATTAAGAAATTACTTACTTACTTACTTTATTTTTTTTCCAATTTGAGGAGATAACTCAACAAGTTGCTCGAAGATGCGGAGAACTTCAAGAAGAAAGGGCCAAGAAAATGGAAAATGAGCAACAAATCCGCAATTAAAAAAACAGACCCAAGTACTCAACAACAAAATCCAGGAACAATTAATTTCTAATAATGGAATCGGAGCTCGATCTCTTATATCACGAAAAACCCGAAATCGGCACGAATTTGTCTCGGACTAATTTTTTTACCACGGAAAATCTCAAATTGGTACACTTGTGACAAATTTACTCAGAACTAATTTCTTGACCGTCAAAAACCCCAAATCAGTACACTTGTGACAAATTTACCATTCGTTATTGGTAAACCCGTGACAAACATATAGGTAAAATGCCAAACTGGTACACACGTTATTACGTGCAATCTAACTCGGTAATTTAATGGTGTAATTTAACGGAAATCAATGGTGTGTAAATTTATCTCATGTGTATCGATTTAGGGTTTTCGATGATCAAAAAATTAATTTAAGTTAAATTTGTGATATGGATGTCAGTTTGAGATTTTTCGTGATATTAAGCCTTTAGTATATAACTCAAAATACTTATTTAAGCACATTTTCTTGAGAAAAAAAAGAAGAGGAAGAATAAGAGGGTGTGGATGACAGATCGACAGTTTTGACATCTTCATGGGAAAACACGAACGAACATTTCAGTTCACGTTCAGGTTCAGGAGGGGAAAAAGAGCAGACGGGACCTCAAAAGTGCTCGCCACGTGGAAATCTGCTCGGCCGAGGATCCGCCACGTCGGATCCGCGGGGGTGGGTCCCGCCCGTGGAGTAGGCGGCGACAAGATAACCACGAGCGGGAAGTTCACCGAGCCACGACGGCTTCCGCCGCCCGATGACGGCGGCGGCGCGTCGTGGGGGGGGCGTTGAGGTAATTTCGCGGGGGGGACACTTTTGGGTTGGGCTGTCGTTCACGTAATAAAACCGCCCGCGACCTTTCTCGCCGGGGTCCTCACGTGAAAGTGGTTGGCCCCCCAAAAAGTAAAGAAAGCAAAAAGGAAAAGGGTCGTTTGCTTTTCGACAAGCCATCTTTTCATGTGACCGATTGAAAATATGATAGAATTGAAAAATTGATAGTTTTAATCAAGTCATTCGAGGATTCATATGTAAAATCGTCGAGATCGATTTGATGGGATTTTCGAGAGCCGAATATCGTGCGGCGGGTTAATTCCTTACGAGAGAATTGAGTATGCAGAGAATTACGTGCCGATCCGTTCAATTTAAAGTTATTGGATCGTATCAATATAGGATTCCGTTCTTTTCTCTCTCTCTCGGCATTCTTCCCTCTTTTGAAGCTCTCTTATAAGTTCTCAGCTTCAGTTTTACTTAGTGTTAGGTTTTCTTTTTCTCTGCTTTGATTTTTTTTTCTTTACTCTCTTTTGAACATCGTAGGATCTTTGTCTGTCTCAAGATCAAAGTAAAAAGCGGTAGTGGATAGCCAAACTCCTCGGCCTGCGGGAATCGTGTAATCCTGTAAAGGCATTTAACTATCATCAATGTTCTCAATATGATTTGGTAATCAAAGTACTTATCGACATTATCGACTCAAATTGAAAATACATGAATCGACTATCATGGAAATAACTTTTTTCTCTCTTGTCGAATGATAATGGATCCACCTATCTTTTAAGTCATTGGATTTCTTTATAGAAAAGATCTTTTCCGAGAAAAAAAGATATAAAGGAAAAAGTCTATGGTTTGCTCCGCCCGATTTCTCGACCGTTCCTTTTTTGTCGACAATCTTTGGTGTTTGCAATCATGATCAACATGCTTTTTGCCCTTGGTGGGTTGATTAGTGTGACCATGGACCGTATGACCCGCAACCATCATGGCAATGTCTCGAGCATATCGACTTAAACATACCATTAAAATAAAACACGAGGCTTAAATTTATGAGTGGATTTTTGGTAGTGGTTTCCGAAGGGTACTTCACCACAGCAAGGGAAGTAAGTTTTCGATTGGGACCGCTTTGCCTGTTCAGATGTATACACTCGGCAGACTGATAGGACCGTGTTCCTTATTTTAACGTGCCGGTGTCTGCACGCTCAGCTCTCCTAATTGAAGAGAAAGTTTTTCTTTCCTCTCACCAGGGAATACCCCGGAGGTTTTATATCCCAAAGTTAGCTTAAGGACTTGCTCAGATCCAAACCATGACCATATGACCCACCAACCACTATGACAAAGCCTTGAGTATATCGACTTAAACACGTGATTAATTTGTAAGTGGCCTTATTCATTAGCATTGGTGGTGGAAGATATAGTAAAAAAAAAAAGTTTGTGCTCTCCATTATGGCCTTTCTCAATGCATTTAGCGTTGGAAAGCTCGAGGGTGTAATTTGTTTTGCTGGGTCCACGGACAAAGAAGACTCTTGAAATTTTCGCGCACGCGTGATCAGGAGGATAATACAACGGGATAATCAAGAAGGAAAGCTTCAAATTATGATGGACTCAATCGCAAGCTTGGCGAAGACTCAGGGAAAATTGTCCAAAAAGTTCTAAACCTATTGTACGGCAGTCAATTTAGTTATAAAAATTTCAATTGTACCAATTTAGTTCTAAATCTTTTGACGATTTGTCGATATCGTCCTTCCGGCGGATTATCCAAATATAGGACTAAAATGGCAAATCTTCGGAAGGGTCAAGACTAAATTGACACATTTGAAATGTTTACGACTAAATCAGAAAATTGTCAAAAGAATCAAGACTACACCGGCACAATTGAAAAGTTTAGGACTGAATTGGGCGCCGTATAATATGTTTAGGAGTTCTCGGACAATTATCCCGTGTTCTTATCGAGATGGGTATCCAACGACTAAGTAAATCCCGATCCATACGTCATATTTTATCAAAGATTGAGCGCTTTGCGAAATTGCTCGAATTGACCGTGCTGAAGGGAGAGGATGATGGCTTCTTTGCCATGTCGATCGGGATACGAAAAGCCATCGGATAGTGGGAGGGCCACCACGCACTGTCGAGGCAAGAAGGAAAAAGGGGGCCAAATTTGAAGATTTCCTCGTATTTGATTTGATTTGTAACTCTTCCTTTTTCTTCTTTTTGGCGATTGGCGTTTTGGGGGATCAAGTAAGTGCATGCTGGCTTTGACTAAACATGAACCATCATCCAACATGAATTTCTTCAAAATCCTATCAGTTACAACAAAGGAAAAAAAAAAAAGGTTATTCATGTCTCGCCATGGATATCATCGATGATTGCTAAGGAACATCATGAATCACACAAGCCTACCAAGCGGGAGTCGAAGGTCCCCCGTGTCTCCTCGGCTGCGGGAGGCAACTATACTTGCTTTCCCGACGATAGCTAACCGAAACTGACGTGAAATCTGCATTTTCCATCCACAAGCCTCTAAGTTCCCTCTCATTGTTTTTCATCTTGGGAGATAAGTAATATGGAGAGAACTTACAAAGAGATTTCTCTACTATATAGGGGAGTTTCTTTCTCTATCTCCCCTTGAGTCTTTAAAGAACATGCTCAAGTCCGAGCAAGTGTTATCGATTCATGAGAACAAAAGGGTTGAGGGCATGATTGCAAACCAAGTACGGATAGGTAGGAAACGAAATAGCAATAACAATACTTGTCACAAGCGAGCCATATATATATATATATAGCTTATCTTAGCAAGTCGGGAACCCTGATAACAATGGTTATACTTATGTCATGGACAATCATAACCATTGCAAAGCGAGGGCCCGTGATGGCCTGGTTGGGGCCGGTGAGGGCGTTGCGATCCTCGTCTTGAGCCGGCGAGGGCATCCCGGCCCTCGCCTGTGGCGGGCGACCCATGCTAGCTCAAAGTTAAAAAAACAAAAGTAAAGAAAAGGAAAAAATTCAAAAGAATTTAAATATTATTAAAAATGTTCACTTCAGCGCCGACCATGTCGTGTATGACGGCCGGCATCCACGTCAGCGATTTCCGGTCAAAATTAGTCAGATGGACTCAATTGGCAAGACGAGAAAAAGTTCAAGACTCAATTAGCACAATTAAAAACTTTTAAACTGAATTGGTATAAGTGCAATAGGTTTATGACTATTTTGATAGTTCACTCGTATTCAGTCTAACCCGGCCAAAAAGAGGAGGATCTCGCCGGACGATCGCATGGGTTGCTTCTACCGGCCCCATCAATCTTTCCTCCCAAGTCCGATGTGCCATTAATTTGTTAAAGATTAGGACTTTAGAACTAAGAAGGATGGTACTGCTAGATAACTAATGAGGAAATTAATAAAAAAAATTCAAGCTTTAATCTTTCAATAATTATCAGCACGAGTTGTTTTTTTTTTTTTTTTGGTCATATCAGCACGAGTTGTTTAAATCTGATACTTTTCGACCAAAAATAAAACATGATTACATCCCTAGCCCATTGTCATAATATATATCTTTATGGAGTTGATTAGAAGAACTTTTTCCAAGTGGGTTCTTTCCTTTATGTCTTTGGCTCTCAGTGAGATACTCTTGAAATCAACTCTTACTTTTCAAACCCAACTTGATTTTGGATTCGTTTGGTAAGAAATAATAGATGATGATGAGGAGGTCTCTCATGTAGGAACCTCATGATCTGATGTCTGATTATGGGTGATGGTAAATGGACCTAAGATTTTGTCAATCATCATAGCAGTAGCACCATCGTGGATTCTGCTGGTGATGCTTTCGAGAGTGGACAATATATGGAGGGCGTGGAAAATATGTGGGGTATTCGGAGCTGCACGGGTCAATTTGCTCAGGCCCATCGTCTGTTTGGTAATAATGCTTTCTGATGGCAGAGAAGAAACTTAAATATCTCACGAACATAGGCGGAAAAAACACGAAACTCGTAAGACCGACGATCGATACGACGAGCGATTCCCAGTAGAAGAAACACGTCCGATCCGGTTCCGTCGGCCTTCGTCTCTGGAGAAGGAGAAGAGCGGGAGCCTCGGAAGGAAAATTCCGGGACCCAACGAAGTCAAGAATCGTGCACACACACACCCCACAGACTTCTGAAGTGTTTCTGATGGAGGGGGAAACGTAGAAAACCATCCGAACAGAGCCGAACAAAGTCCCACATCGCCAAGAGCTCGAGAAACTTTACAATTCATGAAGAAACGCGAAGTTGTTCGCCGAGCCGGGTAACGCGGGCTTGTAAACCGAGCAGGGGCGCCACTGTGGTAGGACATGGGCTTAGCTTCTGCGGGCCGGGCTCGTCGTGGCAGTCTTCTGGCCCGCCTGTTCCAAGCCGAGAGCTGACACGTGCGGACCGGGTGAAGGCTCGGGCCGCACGCGGGTCCTAGAGTGGAAGGGGACCCCGCGAGGCTGGCTTCATAGAGCAGCGAATACCTCTTGCTCCCGACAGTGGGAGGATAACGGGCCGGTGCCACTCGGGCCCATCATGGCCCAATGGGCCGAGCCCTTCTGAACCACCACTGTTTTTTCTTTTTTTATTTCGAGGAAAATTATTTAACTTTTTTTTTTGTCTTAAAAAATGTCGGCTGAGGCCAAATTCTGTGGACCATTGAAAATTGACCAAAAAAGTATTTAGATTGAAATGCATGAATAAAATAAAGGGTTAAATATCGTAAAAAACCCCCAAATTAGTACGACGGTAACAAATTTATCATAAACTAATTTTTTTACCATAAAAAACTCCATACTGATACGCTCGTAATAAATTTATCCACCATTAGTTTATATTAAATTGGATTAATATAAAAAAAAATCACAAACTGATATATCTGTGATGAATTTATCTCACGAAAAATCACAAATTTATATACCTATGACAAATGGAGAGTAAAAATCCAAACTAGTATATCTGTTAATTACCACTTATCATCTAACTAGACTTGTTAAACGGGTGGGTCGGGTCGGGTCGGGTTTGGGTCGAGTCATAAATGGTCCGACCCAAATTGACCCATTAACCCGTTTATGACCCATTTATTCATAGTGTAAATATCTCGACCCATACCCAGCCCGACCCATACCCAACCCATACCCGACCCGACCCATATTGCTAAAACACTTTTATATTTAACCTAATCTAGGAATACTTGTTTCTTATGATTTTTTTTTAAATTATACTGCTAAAACATTTTATGCAATACAAAGCTAGTGAAATTTTTTTATAATTTTTTTTTAAATTGAGGTTCTGTTTGTTTTACGAAAAATGCGACATTTCTAGAAAATATTTTCCATAAAGTCATTATCTAAGAAAATAAAAAAAATTTAATATTTTTTTTATTTTTTAAATCGAATTTTAAATTATTTTTTATTTTTATTTTTTCCTTTTTCCTTTATTTTTGGTCGATCGCCGGTCGCCGGCCAGGCGAGGACGAGCTCGCCGGAGGCCGGCGAAGCTCGTTCTCGCTGATCTGGCGAGGCCGAGGCCTCGCCGGGATCGGGCGAGCCTCGAGGTCGCCGGGATCGGGCGAGCCTCGAGGTCGCCGGGATCGGGCAAGCCTCGAGGCTCGCCAGATCGGCGAGGCTCGAGCCTCGCCGGAGGCCGGCAAGCTCGAGCTTCGCCGGCCTCCGGCGAGGTCGTCCCGCCCTGGTGGCCGGTCGCCGTGGCCGACCACCGGCCGGAACAAAAAAAAAAAGAAAAAGAAAGAAGAGAAAAGAAAAAAGAAAAAATAAAAGAAAAAGATAAAAAATAAAAATAATTAAATTTCGATTTTTTATAAACATGTTTATAAAGAGAGAGAGAGAGTGTGTGGATGGGTCTAGTGGGTGGGTTGGACATGGGTTCCAAACTCAACCAATTTAGACCCATTTATCTTTAAGCTTTAAAATTTAAAACCAATTTAATGTTGACTCTTTAAAATTAAAGTGACCCATATATGACCCATTTATTTTTAAATGGGTCATATATGGATTTAAGACCCATTTTGACACCTCTACATCTAACTCAGCAATTCGACGATAATTTTTGATGTTTTTCGTTACTTAATTCCAAAAGGTATTAGATTGAAATGGATGAATAGACCTGTCAAAATGAGTCATAAACCCATTTCTTAACCCATATATTAGTAAAAGGGTCATAAATTGGTAAAAGTCTAATATTAGTATTAAATGGGTCATAAATGGGTCGTAAATGGGTCATAAATGAGTTTACAACTGATTTAAACTCAACTCATCTCTCTCGCCTTTACTCAATTTTGCGCTCACTCACTTCGTACTCTCATCTCAGTTTGGGTATGAATTTTTCTAGATTTAATTAAATATGGAAGTGTTTTAGCAATATCGGTCTGATCGGGTATGAGTCGGGTCAGGTATGGGTCAAGAAAATTACATTATACATAAATGGATCATAAATAGGTTAATGAGTTAATTTGGATCGGACCATTTATGATCCGACCCAAATTCGATCCGACTCATTCATTTGACAGGTCTATGGATGAATAAATAAAAAAACCAAAGCAGACAAAAACGTTGCGTCCCCCCGTCCACGAGTCCAGCTCGCTCCTTCCTTCCTCGTTGGCGGAGCAAGATTCCCCCCGCACCACCGCAAAACGCCAAAGAAACGCCACGTCATCGTTCCCCCGGTTCGTTCTCCCTTGTTGCTTCCACGCGATCTCTCTCCCTCCGCACAGCTTTCAACCTTTCACTCTCCCCCCTGAAGGCCGGAGGAGGAGGAGAAGGTCGCGACGTTCGAGCATCGGAGATCGCCGATCGGAGGTGGTGGAAGCTCTCTCCCCCACATGGCGGCGGCGGCGGCGTCTGCGTCGGCGGCGTCCGAGAAGCAGGTGATGGTGGTCGCCGTCGACGAGAGCGACTGCGGCGCCCACGCCCTCGACTGGACCATCGACCACTTCTTCCCTCCCGCCGTCCCCGGTTCTCCGTTCAAGCTCGTCCTCGTCCACGCCAAGCCCTCCGCCGCCGCCGCCGTCGGCCTCGTCGGACCTGGTACCCGTCTCCCCGATGGCGCTGTTGTTTCTCCAGCCGCTTCGCTTGATTCCTACGCTCTTGTGGATCGGCGAGGGGTTTCGTTTTAGCCCTGTTTTTTTGGGTTCGGAGGCTGTGCGTTTTGCTAAGTAGAGAGAGGGTTGCTGTATGTGAATTGTTCAGGAGCTGCTGAGGTGTTTCCGATCGTGGAGGCTGATCTGAAGAAGAGCGCCGCGAGAGTCGTGGAGAAAGCCAAGGAACTTTGCGCGAGTAAATCGGTGAGTAACGTAGCGCCCGCGCACGTATCGTTAGCTGATTCCGTGACTGCAGCGATTTCGAGCTCTGTCGATTAGTACGACGAAGTCATGCTGGTCTCGTCGATTACTGATTGGTAGTTCCTAGCTCGGTGTCCGTGCGGATAGATGTCGTTTCGGTATCATTGCTGTCCAACATAGCGAGATGAACAATTTACATGCTCGAAAGATTGTTGCTGCTTTGGACAAAATGTGGGATGTGATTTGTGCTGTCGATAGATTGCGTTTGTCGTCGATCTTTGGAGATATCCGGAAAATATTCGCGTTGGATTTCATCATGTTTTGATGGTCTCTTCGACTTCCATTCCAGGTTCACGATGTGATGATTGATGTGGTGGAAGGCGATGCGAGGATCGTTCTCTGCGATGCCGTAGAAAGACATCACGCCTCGATCCTGGTAGTTGGTAGTCATGGTCATGGAGCCATAAAAAGGTAACATTTACTAACTCGATGAAGCTCACGACTAGGGTACCTCTGCTGTATACTTGCTTCTATCTCCTGGGACTGATGCGAAGGTCTGATCGAGGCTAGCTTTTCGCATTTCCAAGTCGATATTTTGCTGCGCCCGGTGGACTATGGGGGAATAAATTTCAACTTAAGCAATGTTCAGTTCTTAGATGAAGTATTCGAATTGGAAAATGGCGTTCAATGGGTTATTTCGTTGTCACCGGTCTTGATACTTGCGGATTGCTTTATTGACAATGTACAAGATCAAATAGCTTAATAAACATCACATTTAGCTTGAGGAAGAACTAGTTGACCGAATGTTAGACGTGTAAACCGGTCCTAACAATTTGCCGTTTCATTTTACCGGGCAAAAGTACAAACCATTTAAGGTAGGAGCAGGAGAGTGGTATCAGAGAACGTATTTTGTAAGACAGGAATTCGTGGGTGGCTACTATTATTGTTAGGGCCAATGGTTATCCAACCGTGCGAGAATCCCATCTATTCCTCCTTTGTGAGCCCTAATTTTCTACTCTAGTGGCATAACGTTTCAGATGTTCGCTATACGACTCTCTGTAGCACTTGACTTTGTGCCACTCGAATACTGATGAATGTCTAGTACACTCTTGCAGGGCTGTCTTAGGTAGTGTGAGCGACTACTGTGCTCACCATGCTCATTGCACCGTGATGATCGTGAAGAAGCCCAAGGCTAAGCACTGAGTTCCCTTCTCTGCTTCTGCAGAATCTGTAAATGTGGTGTTTGTGTGCTGTCATATTGGGCACACAGATATCTAGCTCTGTATTCCGTATGTCTGTGGTACTTCCGTTTGTATTTTGTATGTTGAAATGCCATTATGAAAGTTCAGTTTGGAGAATCTTTCCCCTCTTTTACAATTAGTTTCGCTACAGCACCCGCTGCTCTAGCTAATTGTCCACCCTTTCCAATTGTGATTTTTATGTTATGTATGGCCGTGCCTAAGGGTATATCGGTTGAAGTAGATTCTTCTTTTTGATCAATCAAAACCCCTGTCCAAATTGTACAAGCTTCTTTCAAAGCGTACGGCTTTCTGGATGCATCGGCTCTACGGCTAAAGTCCATTTATGTGTAAATCTGCACATCCACACATGGTGTGATCTGCCTCGGCAGTTATCTCATCTCCAATGGAAAGAATTGCAAAGAAGAGGATAGAGTTCAAATACTAATTTCACGAGTATAGTATTACTAATACTGTATTAGAACAGTACTTTGGCGTGATATCAGATGCAATGAGAATGGAATTAGATGGTAATGACGATTTCCTGCTTGTCCGCGCATAAAGGGAAGAGGAAATGAAAGAAACAGAGGAAGTGGTGCACTATATCCAAATCAAATTTAAACCCTTTTAAGCCAATAGGTGTGCCCCTTTGCTGGTAAGTACCAGGGGCGGGGTTTCTTTTTGTTTTTTTGTTGGTATTCCAGGGGCGGGGTTTGATCCTCATGAGTAACGTATACACTTGTACATAGAAGTAGGGGTGTGCAAAACGGACCGCCCGAACTGGACTGGACCAGCTAATTCAGTCTGGTTCCTGGGAGTATCGGTTTGGTTCCCGGTTCTTAAAAGTGAAACCTGTGTTCGGGCGGTCTGGTTCCCCATTCCAAGGGGGAACCCGACTAGACCGACTTTATATATTTTAATTTTTTTTTTCAAAAAATTAGTAAAATGTGAACTAAACCCTAAGTGAACTTCATCGATATAATTTCATTGACAAAAATTAGTAAAATGTGAACTAAACTCTAAGTGAACTTCATTGACAAAAATTAGTAAAATGTGAACTAAACCTTAAGTGTTTGACCAAATAAAAAAAAAAAACTAAACCCTAAGTAACCGGTTCTTGGTCCTAGGACCAACCGATTCGGTCCTCGGTTCTCCTGGTCCAGTTCTTGATTCCACCTTAGAACCGGACCGGACCGGGACCCGATCACCCTTATATAGAAGAGATGGGTAAGATAAAATAAAATAAAAATAAAATTTAAACACTTTTGATATGGTGCAACTAAATTTCAAATTATTTCCAAAACTGTTATTATGCGACAGACTTAGAGTAAAACCGCAATGAAATTTTACCCACATTGAAATTACTACCTGAATTTTTCTATCTATACTAAACAGAACATATTTTGAATGTAATAAAGTGATGCGGTCTCTTTCTCTAGGTATACATTGTACCTTCTTCGTACTTATGTTTCGCCTCTCCTAAAAGTAATATTCGAAATACCAATATTAAAACAAAAGGGGGGGGGACTTGAACACTAATATTGAATAATTGTTGCTCTCGGCAAAGTGATTCATAATCTTCTCATAAAACCACATATTTCTATTCTTATTATGGAACGCAAACAAAAACTATCGTATAATAAAACCAAAATGAGATTAAATTTAATGTGTCGCACTTTTTCCACTCCTAATTTGACTACAACACTCCCCAACAAAAGTGTTTGAACTATTTCATCTGCTGTGGGTCTCACCCATTAATATCTTAAGCCTTCCCTTTGTGTCTTGTTTTAATTTTTTTTTGCGGGTCGCATTTTCTCTCCTCTTCATCTCACCTTTATGCATCTTTCTCTCTTTCTCTTTCAATCGAATAATATTTTTTTGGTACAATTGGTTGTTGTGCAACATATGGAAGCCTTCTCTATTCAAAACCAACCCAATACTTCAATTTGATCGTGGGCAGGACCTTATTCACCGATTTGTGCTGTGAGTTTACATCCAGATTGAGTTAGTTATTTATTTGTAAATACTTTGGATTTGAGTTTAATCTAGGTGTGAGAAACACTCGAACGTGTGAGTGATTGTAACTCTAATTCTCCAATTATAGTGGATTATCTGTTGCTGGCACTTCCCGTGGATATAGGTACCGATATTCGGACAGAACCACGTAAATTTTAGGTGCCCTTTATTGTTTCTCGTTTATTTGTCTGGTGATTTTGCGTTGATTTAATTGCAAGAAGTTTCCGCGTTAATTTTGTAATTGGATCCATGGAAAGAGGACGATTTTGAGATTTTCACGAGCACGTAATCGAGAGAATATAAAATGCAACAATCAAAGAGAGGGAACTTCTCAGTTATGCGCTGAATCGCGTGTTTAGCTACAAGTTATGTTATGCATCGAGATGGATGCCGAGGACCTGAGTATTTCACCATTTGTTTATGATGGGATTTAAGTCGATGATGAGTGGTTGCGAATTGCTCAAATGGCCAATGAATGGATAAAAGATGATGACATTTCGACAATGTCAATTGGGATACAAAGCCATCTGGCAGTGGGAGGAGAGCCGCTATGCATTGTCGAGGCACAAAAGAAGCCAACTCGAACATTTCCTCGAATTGATTTGAGACTTTCTGTTCAATTAGCGTTTCGAGTGATCAAGTAGTGCGTGCCGTTTGAAGGAGAGAGATCCGCCCCCCCCCAAACAGGTCGGGGCATAACTCCTACCGAGTGTTCATGAAAAACTCAAGAATGGATAATCCGACCCGAACCAAATGGATAAAAGTTCAGTTTATGGTATAGTTTTGATTTGGAATTGTTTTCGTAATCGGCTTTGTCGATACAACAAAACTTATAAGTTCATATATCGCTTCGTCGTATAAATTGCATATACAAATAAGTTAGCGAGATGCTCGACTGAAGTACGATAAATATAGTTCACAATCTAGCAGAGTTTGGCAGTTGAGTCTGCATTTTTTGGGCTCTCAGTGAGGTACTCTTGAAATCAAATCTTTACTTTTCGAACCCAATTCTATCGTGGATCTTGTTTGGTAAGAAATATTGATGATGAGGTCTCATGTAGATTGCTCGTGATACTCTCAGAAGCTTAAAAGACACGAAAGAATATCAAGTGCTTAGTACATGTGTGTTAGAAGCTGCACAGGTCAATGTGCTCAGTTCGATCGTCTTGTTTATTATGCTTCTGATGGCAGAGAAGAGAGAAATGGCTCAGACTTCCCCCGAGAGGGTCTTCCCTCCCAAAGAAACTTAATGCCCAGATTTACCATCCAATGACAAATCTAGAGACGCGAAAATAGACGAAAAAACGAACTTGAGAGGCGGACCATTGATGGAGAACGACGAGCGTTCTTCCATAGAAGAACGCATTTCATCCAATTCGGGATTGCCTAGAAAATGTGTGTTAGAAGCTGCACAAGTCAACGTGCTCAGGGCCATCGTCCGCTTAGTAATAATGCTTCTGATGGCAGAGAATAAAGGGATGACTTGACTTCCCTCTGGTTCTTCCCTCCAACAAAACTTTATCTCCCAGATTTAGCGTCCAAGGACACAGACACGGGCATAGATGAGAACACCAACGCGAGAGGCGAGAACGGCCGAGTGTTTCTTCATGGAAAAACACACATTCGATCCCATTCGGGACTGGGTATTGTGGCACAGACCGGCCACTTCTCGGACGAGAGAAGAGCGATCCTGCAAGAAGGAAAACTCGAGACCCCATTGAGTCAAGAATCGCGCGCGCGCGTGCACCCGGACATGAAGTTCGACGCAAAGAGGGGAAGAACATAGGAACCCCATCCGAAACAGAGCCGAACAAAGTCCCACATCGTCCGCGGCACCAGAACTTCAACAGTTTATTAGCTTCACGCACTACGATTATGGTCGCCGAGCTCAGTTGCGCGGGCTTGTGACCCAAGTAGGGGCATCACTGTGGTGGAACATGGGCTTAGCTCCTGCGGGTTGGGTTCGTCGTGGCAAGTCTTCTGGCCCGCCCGTTCCAAGTCGAGAGTCGATCCGTGCGGGCCGGGCGAAGGCTCGGGCTGCGCGGGTCCTAGAGAGGAGGGGACAGCGCTAGGCTGGCTTCACAGAGCAGCGAATACCTCCCTCTCCCGACAGTGGGAGGATAACGGGCCGGTGCCACTCGGGCCCATCATGGCCCAATGGGCTGAGCCTACCGAACCACCACTTTTTTATTTTTATTTTTTTGGGATCTGATTTTTGGCTCCCAGAAAATTATACTTCATGTCTTCAAGAACGTGTCGGGCTGGATGAGTGAGGCCGATTTGTCTAGGCAATTGAAAATGTTAGAAAATCCCAATTATCTATCTGTTTAGGGAAAGTTCTTTTTATATAATCACATTTTTCGGCACACAAGTAACCATGGTTAAGTTTACTCTAAGAATAGGACTTGGACATCAATCTATGCATCGAGAATGTCTGAACTTATCCATGGTCCACAAGTTCACTCTCGATTTTTTCCGGTACATGAATAACCGTGGTTAGGTTTACTCTATGACTTTTATCAAAATTATGCATCAATTCATACCCCGCATTGTATAAAAGATAAAGCCTTCTATTTATACGAATAAAGCAAGGAAATTTTGGAAAGTGTGTTATGTTGTAATGATATTCTTTTGAGTTCTGTATACCTTTTTTTTTTCTCAAAGTGCATCAATTTGAATTCCAAACTAATAATTTTCAAATGAGAGAGGTTGCTTAGTTACAATTAGGATACAAATAGATATATAATTACAGAAAGACCATATAATACATATAAAGTACACATTAATACTCCTTTTAAATTTGAAGCAAGTGTAACAATTGAGAGATTAGATTTCAATAACGCGTGATGCAGACAAGGTAGTCCCTTGGTGAAGATGTCTGCTAGTTGATCTGTTGATGAGGTTATCTGGGTTGATGCATGTGTCCAGTCATGGACACATGCTATTGTGCACCAACCATATGTCGATATAACATTGAGGAAGCGAGAAGAAAAGGTGAAAGTGGGTGTATTGTTGTTGAGAGGTGATGGGAAAGTTGGGATTAACGGAAAGAAAAGATGATGGGTAAATAGATGGTAGAGAAGAAGAAAAATTTGGACATGCATCAAACTTTGTTGAGATAGCAATTGGATCAAGGGAAGTGTTGATTTGGGGTAGGATGTGGAAGAATTTGATATGTTTTCTTGCTTAGATACCATATTAATATTTAGAGTCAAAGAGATAATAATGACAAATTGTTTATTGTGGCTCAACCACGATAAAGGTTGCAAAAGTAATTATAAGAGTGATTAATTTACAGTTAGGATACCAATAAAATAAAAAAGTACACATTAGTTATTTGTTCCATGTTAATATTTTTTTTTAATCTATAACATCGTCTATCGTCTTTCTTGCTTAGTCATCACTTAATATCTATCATTACCATATGAGAAATACCAGTTCAATTTCCTCATGTGGTCATACAAACATATGTTTTAAGGTTTAAAGTAAAGCCATAAGAAACTCAAATTTACTCTAATGAGAAAGTTCCAAGAGAAATATGCCACACTATACGCAATCTTATGGTGATTTGTCCTATAATAAAAGATTAAGGACTTGCATATTTAGATTAGAGAAGTAGAGATGTTAAGATGCATATAGCAGACATTTCACACTACATATTACTTATTCTATTTATTCTAATATTGTGCCCGCCCCAAAACCAGTATAAATATATTATTATGGACCGATCTAATTTGTTATATCTTCGATAATTGCCACGCGGATTACCAAAAAAACTCGCGAAAATGCTTCTAGGCCGAGTTTCTAGAGCTCTCCTAGCCATTAGATTTGCTACCAAAAAGTAGCAACACGTGCTTCTCAGTAGTTCAAATCAACATGTTCTGTAAGTTCTATACTCATTCAAATGGATTAAATTTTGAAAGAAAATAAGGTATATATATATATATAATAAATAGAAATAATCAAATGATAGACCTAAAGAAGATAAAAATGGCGTCCACGTCTACGAGTCAAACTCGCTCTTCTCCTCCACTTGGCGGAGCAAATTTTCCAATCGCAAAAGGCCAAAAAATGCCACGTCATCGTTCCTTGTTCGTTCTCTCTGGTTCCAGTTGCTTCCACCTTTCTCTCTCTCTCTCTCTCTCTCCCTCTCTCTCGTGCTACTTAACTTTCAACCTTTCACCCTCCTGAGACCAGAGAAGAAGATCGCTGCATTCCGTCTGCTTCTGTGCTCTTCCAGTGGCGAGCGTGATCGAAGGGCGGGAAGCAGCTCTCATGGCGGCGTCCGAGAAGCAAGTGGTGGTGGTCGGAGTCGACGAGAGCGACTACGGCGTCCACGCGCTCGAGTGGACCATCGACCACCTCTTCGCTCCCTCCATGCCTGATTATCCGTTCAAGCTCATCGTCGTCCACGCCAGGCCCTCCGCCGCCTCCACCGCCGGCCTCGTCGGGCCCGGTACGGTCTCTAAATTCCACATGCATATATATCCCTTGGATTCGCTGTCTTCGGCTGTGTCGCTTGATTGCCACGCTTGTGAATTGCGAGGGTTTCGTTTTAGTTCTGCTTTTAGGTTTGGAGGCTGTATTTATACGGTGCTTTCGGAGTTTTGACTTTTTCTTTTTTGTTGGATTTCGTTTATGTGTATGTTGCTAAGTAGAGAGGATTGCTGCATGTAAATTGTTCAGGAGCTGCTGAAGTATTTCCGATCGTGGATGCCGATTTGAAGAGGAGCGCCGCGAGACTTGTGCAAAAAGCCAAGGACCTTTGCGCGAGTAAATCGGTAAGTACATAGCGCCGGCGCACATATCATTAGCTGATTCCATGACTATAGTGATTTCAAGCTCTGTCGATTAGTACGACGAAGTCGTGTTGGTCTCGTTGACCACTGATTGGTTGTTCCTAGCTTTAGAGAGTCCAAGCAGATAGAAGTCATTTTTGCAGTCCAACATAGCCAGATGAACAATTGACATTGCTTAAACGATGTAGCTGTTTTTGGCAGAATGTAAGATGTGATTTATGCTGTCAAAAGATTGCATATGTCGTCAATCTGTGGAAATATCGCATTGGATTTCATTGTGTTTCTCTGTTTTTTCTTTCAACTTCCATTTCAGGTTCATGATGTGACGATTGAAGTGGTGGAAGGCGATGCGAGGAACGTTCTTTGCGATGCTGTACAAAAACATAATGCCTCGATCCTCGTAGTCGGTAGTCATGGTTATGGAGCCATAAAAAGGTACATCTGCTCAATCAACGAAGCTTGAGCTGGATTGTTATATGAGTTTGTTATATTTAATAAATGGGTCATAAATAAGTTTAGAATGGTAAAACCTAAAATAATATAGGTGTTAAATGGATTTACAACTTACTTATACCCAACCCATCTCTATGACTCCCTCTCGCTTGCACTCATCTCACACTCGCTCGCTCCGTGTTTTTGCTTTAGTTTGGGTATGAGTTTTCTTTGATATGGTTAAACATAGAAGTGGTTTAGCAATATGGGTTAGACATTTGATTTTCTCTGCGCCACTCGAATACTGATGAATGTCTAGTATACTCTTGCAGGGCTGTCTTAGGTAGTGTGAGCGACTACTGTGCTCACCATGCTCATTGCACCGTGATGATCGTGAAGAAGCCCAAGGCTAAGCACTGAGTTCCCCTTTCCCGCTTCTGCAGAATCTGTAATTGTGGGGTTCGGGTGCTGTCATGGTGTGCACACTGATATCTAGTTCTGTATTCCGTATGTGTATGGTACTTCGGTTTGTATTTTGTAAGTTGAAATGGCATTAGATTTGTATGCTGAATTACCATTATGAAAGTACGGTTTGGAGAATTTATGTACTTAATTATACACGCTCGACAGCTAAAGTCCATTTATGCGTAAATCAGCACATCCACACATGGCGTGATCTGCCTCGGCAGTTATTTCCAAAGGGATAGAGTTCAAATACAAACTTCACGAGTAGAATGGTACTTTGGCATGATGTAAGACGAACGAGAATGGACATAGCTGGTAATGACGATTTCCTGCTTGCGTACGTACAAAGGGAAGATGAAATGAAAGATGATGAGGTAGTGGTACACTTTATCCAAAGCAAATTTAAAACATTTTTGATTTGGTGCGACTAAATTTCATATTATTTTAAAAAAAAGTCATACTTCCAGAACTAGTTATATGACAGATTTAGAGGTTGTTGCATATAAAAAAAATGTGTGCAATGAAAAGAGCATGATGTGATTGCATCAATCGCAACGTACACTGTTCTATCATATTTCAAGAATGACATTCGAGACTTCTAGCGTACTTTTTTAAATATACATTCTTCTTCCAAATGTCTTCGATAATCTTTTTTTAAGGAAAATAGTTATTCTTGTATGTTGACGTGGGGTGCGTTTGGCTCGGCTTTGGGAAAAATCCTTTGAGAAAATGCAAATGACGTAGGAATTTTCCAAAATACAAAAAGCATTTGGTAAAGTATAATTTAAAAACACAATGAGAAGCAATTTTGACTTAAATGCCGTTTGGAAAAAATTACATTTTGTAAATGACTGTTGTTGCTTTTTTTTTTAAAACTACACATCAGGGTTTTCGAGGACATTTCCGTAATCATGAAAGTATAACGAGAGCAAAATTGGAAGAAAAAAAAATCTACTTGCGTTTGGAAAATGCTCAAAGCTTAAGACACTTCCGGACCTGTCTTGAACTAAAGGCCTTTACGTGCCTTTGAAATGCAATTTGCATTTTTTCTAAGCTATCCAAAAAATTTTGCCAAATGCCATTTGCATTTGCCCAAGGACTTTGGAGCCCGGAAAGGCTTTGGCAAAGTGTTTGCTAAATGCAATAGCGGAAATATAATGAATAAGACTAGACAAAAAAAATACTTTACCTCAATTTTTATTCCTTCAACACACATCCCACATATTCAGGAAAAGAAGAATATATTTTCTTGTGCATTCTCGTACACTTAACACCATTTCCATCAAGATATAGCACGCGCAAGCAAGCAAGGAAAGCGTGAGGCTTCCGAGTTATACGAGTACAGAGGGACCTTCCTCTGGGAATGCGAAGCATAATCAATGGCTGATCGGCTTCATGCTTCCAAGTCCAGGCCAAGCGCACACTCGAATCCGAATCCCATCACTCGACCAAAACTCACCGCAGCGGTGCGCGGATGGAGCGATTCCAGAAGGTGAATTCGTGCAAGCGAGCTGCTCTTAGCAGATCCTTGAGGAAACCCAAGTGATGCTCGCCAACTGTTTGCGCAAATGTCCACGTGAAATTTGGTCACCAAAGAAAAAAGGGTATGCCTTTCCCGGTCGTACTATGAAAGAATCCCGTAATTGGTCTCGAGCTTAGATTTCGAATTGTCCGGATTCAGCTGATGCCGATAGACCATGTCCCTTTCCCGCTTTTAAGATGATGAATGCCGGCTGCACAGGGCTCTAATATGTCAGAGATTGCTATTTGAAGATCTCCGAATTGTCTAAGCGTCAGCGAACTTCTCTCTCTGTTGGGTTTTTGGGTTTTGAAGTTTTCGGCTTCTCTTCCTAATTCGCACCAAATATGTTTCCTCACACTAAAAATCCATGCCCGCTTTCAGAACAAGTTCTACTTGCGCAGGCTTAAAGTTCTCTCTTGGCTATTCCTATGATTACCTGAATTCAATGTTCCTTATTTATTGATGCGGTGGGTATCTCTAATTCTCGTTCCTTGATCGTGAAATTCTTAGTACCATGGAAGGTGATTATCTAAGGCCGCCCGCAATATCTTTGCTCCTAATGCCAATGACTACATTTTAGCTTGGTCGAAGCATGAGCAATTATGTGAATTAGAGACAGTATTTTGATGCCTTTCTGAACCTTTATTATCTTCTCTACATCCTATTTTCTAATGCAGATATCTCGGGCATTAAGTTTGTTTTTGCCAGAGCGATGTGGCTCAGACGAATCCAGAGCTCTTTTGGTCTATGCGTGAGAGTTACTGGAGAGACTGCCGCTAACTTGATTGGCGAGGACAATAAGAAGCTTCTACGTTGTGCATACTCAAGTACGTCGATATGCGTAGACCTACCAAGAAAGCTTACAAAGCAAGATCGGAAGCCAATGGTGACTAGTGTGAACAAACTGAAGCGTGAAGCTCGGATGGCGAAGAAGCAGAGGCAGACAGCACAGGAGATTCCTTTGAAGGCTCCTGATAATGGATTGTTGGTCAAGGAATTGGTTCCAGTTGCTCACGAAGTATATAATTCCAGGACGGAATTGTTTGCTTGTGTGTCGAGAGTTGCCCAAAGCATCCCTATTTATACATGCAGGTAAAGAGGAAAAGGCTGAGGAATCCTTCTAGTGCCCAACTTAACCTCGTGAACTTTTAGTTGATTAATGGCAGTTATGTAGCCATAAATTGCACCTTAAGCTCTCTATTAGATCCAATTCATTATGAGATATTTTTATTGTCTGTTCAGCCTAACTTGCTTTGCAATTTACAAGTATGTGCTGTCAGCAGTTAAAGCGTTTGCTATTAGGTATAATAAATCAGTTTCTAAAGACAATCTGCCTGGGTGCTTGACATTTTGCATCGGGAATCTTATTGGCCAATACGATATCTGCAGATATTACTATTGGAACTCAACTTTGTATTCAAGCTTTCACCCCCTTCAACTTTTCTTCAGAAGTTTTTCAGTCCCCTTCTTATTATCATATCCTAGGTCCAGCATTGGGTATTAAATCATGTGCTCTCATACTGATTGCCATGACGAATGTAAATTATGTTGCATAATTTAAAATTCGGCACTTAATGAAATTAAGTCTGTTGATAACCTTGATTAAGATTGACTTCTTCTTTTATTTTTTTTAATATGATTGACTTGATTAAGTGAAAATTTGCTCGTGTTAAGTAGGGATGAGTCACTTAATTCATTCACTAGAAAAAGTAATTGATTTGATAGTAATTAGAGTTCATTATTTTAATTAGCAACACTTATTTTTCAGTTTTATTAAGCAAACCATTATTGTCTTTCTTCATGTTTAGCTTGTGTGGAGAAGTCCATATTGGTCATCCACCGCACCGGATTAGAACTTGCAACGCTGGGGCTCTGTCATACAAAGAGCATAGTTGGAATTGTGGTGGCATGGAACACATCTTGCCAGTCATTGAATCTTTCCATTTATATGATTGGGTTGGGAGGGCCGTTTCACATGACGAGCAGCTTCAAGTTGATCGGATCCCAGCAATTGTGGAATTATGTGTTCAAGCTGGTGTTGACATTGCAGAATACCCCACAAGGAGGAGAAAATTTCCCGTTTACAATGTTGCAGGTAGGATCATCGATTATGAACGTAGGTTTCCTAAAGACGATTTACGTGGGCAAGGCATCGACACATATGGTTTTTGGGGCAGAAAACAGCCAAGCAGAGCAAACTTACCAGACTTCGAACCTGACAACATTCAAGGTCTGTTTTGTCTGCTCATATTCTACCAGTTGTGTTACATAGTACCTGAGGTGGAGTGAGTTAGATTTCGAGCACTATAGTTCTCTTGAACTATCGAACAAGTGAATGTTTATATTCTCGTTCAATTAAAAATGGAACATAATGGCATAGTCCAGATCAGAGGAAACTCCATGAAAAATGTTAAATTTCAACTAATATTCTTGAATTGCAGAATCACGTTAATGGGGATGTGCTTGTTCAAGTAGAAACTAAAAGTGGAATATGACTTATGTACATATCCAGATTAAGTGACTTTAATAGTTATCTTATTTCAGAAGGATGAATATCACACTCCAAATGTTTTGGTCCAGTTTTAGGATTCCCAGTTATTTTCTGAATTGAAAATCACGTGCTTTCATATCCCTTAGAGAAAGCGACAGATTAGCTCAAACTTCAAACTCCTCGTGATTATTCTGATCTCACTTATAATCTCTATGCCGTAAAACCTAAACAAGATAGGCAATGAATTTGGAGAGACATGCTCTTCATACTACCTCGTCTGTCACATATTTTCTGTTTTCTTATTTTTCTCGTTTTTTCAGATCTTCTGTCAAGTCTTTCAGGCACCCATCCTATTTTAAGCACTATTGAAAATTGAGCTATTTAATCTGGTAGGTGTTGCTTTGCGAGGCTTGGAAGCATGGGAAAAAATGTGTTCAGGAGCAGCAAGACTCGTGGAGAAGTACTCGGTCCAAACTTGCGGATATTGTTCAGAGGTGCAAGTCGGGCCCAAGGGTCACAGAGTAAGGAACTGCTACGCTCACAAGCACCAGATGAGGGATGGGCAGCATGCTTGGCAGGAGGCGACGGTTGGGGATATTGTCCCTCCAGTTTATGTGTGGCATGTTAGAGATGGGCACGGCGGTGAAGCACTGGTAAATAGTCTGAAGAGGTATTACGGGATGTTGCCTGCAGTCGTGGAACTTTTTGCGCAGGCCGGGGCACAGATAGGAGAGAAGTATGCCAGTGTAATGCGAGAAGACGTGGTGGTGCCAGACTTGGACGAAGAAAGATTGGCCGTTTGAAGGCATCGACATTTGCTAATGAGCTTGGGGCTGGAATTTTGTTCGGAATTCAAAGGGGCGCGAGTCACTAATCTGAGGACCGCCATCCCTCCGATCTAGGAGTGAGTCCTGTTTACCAAAGTGCAACGGTGTAATGGGGGATATGAAGTGTGAATGAAGGTACTTACATCCAATGGGCATGCTAGAGCTAGACTTCCTCTTAAGGAAAAAACTTCTTTGTTTAAAGATGAATTGATGCAACGAAGATAGTTATCTCAATTGCAGCTTTCGCTCCAGATCAATCCCACCGGAAAAACAGATGCATAAATGACCAGTCAACTATGTCGTCAACAAATGCCTCCCTCTAACGTTAGAAGCATTAAGTCGTTTGTAGTCACTCCCCACTTCTTTAAATTAAGAAAAAGAGACGCAATCGAATAAGCAGAGGAAGAAAACGACCCACAACCATCGAACAGATGGAAACATGAGCTTGAGAGATGCAAAACGAAGGCATTCCTCCCTGTTCAACCAAGGCATTCTTCTGGCGAAAATACATCATATCATCAAAAGAATGCTACAGCATGATCTCCTTCTCATCCACGTTTATCTAGCATTTAAATCGAATTCGCCAGCTTCACGCCAATCGCTCTGCACACCCGTTTCACCATTTTCGGTCTCTTCATCGTTTAAGAAATCTTCGGATGGTTCCTTATCTTCTTTCTGTCCATTGTTTGCCCACCCATTCATCATGTCATCCGGGTTAACGCCCTTTTCCTGCTCCTCCAAGTCGTGATTCATGGGAATATCGTTGTCTTGAGATCCGCGAGCATTTGCCCTTATAGGGCCTCGAGCCATCATTTCCACGTGAGCCTGCGACCCAACTCTAGCTTGCTCTGCCTGCGCCATCGCCGCCATGCGCAACTGAGCCTCCCTCCCAGCTTTCTCTCTCGACTCGATTTCGGCCCTCAATTCCAGCGCCACCCGTTTTTCCTCTTGAAACAGAAACTGCTCAATCATCAACCTCTCCTCGGAGCGGAACTCTCCAAAAGCTCGCTTCCGAGTTATTATGTTGAAAGCAAGGGCCTGTTTCTCAAATGTCGAAGTGAACTCCGCTACTTTGGCAGCAATGTTATGATCCCATTGCTGAGAACGAGAAGGCATCTGACCTGTTGTGTCAGAATCAAGGATTCTATCGTCTTCCTCGGCCTCATAATCTGCTATCACATGGTAAGGCAGTAACCTGCGCCACAGAGAAAGGGTTAATGACCAAGCCCGAAAACTAAAGCTGCTACTTGTAATCCGGACATCAGTACTGGAATTTATGGTAAACACTAAGGACAGCTTTACTCAAGCGACACTATCTTCGGGCATCACTCTCTAAGGTCGTATCTCTCCTTAAGGAAAAATGTGCAATAAGTCCATCCTAATATCCAGCTGCCTGAACAGCAAACTCTGCTGCACTGCTCTTGACACTGTTCCTATACATACTACCCTCCAGAAGGTAGCCACATGATACTCCTCCATTATCCTAACTATCTAAGTTCCTAACATGAGAAACCAGAGAACTATGGCCGAACAAGAGACAGCAGCATAGACCAGAAGCGTTGCAACACAAGGATTCGTATGTAAATCAAAACACTGGCTCTTTCTAAGCAACCAATACTAAATCCGCCTCTTTTGGTGCCAACATGAACCACTAAAAACAGCAATTTTTTTTTCACTAAAGACAGTTCATGCCCAGATGAATTAAGCTATAGATTGACAATTCAACATCAAATGTTACTAATGTGTAAGAAAAAAACACCTGCTTGTATTTGGAATCAACTGAATCTCCACCAAACAGTGTGATTTACCGTCGGAACAAATTCGTGTGCTGGGCATTATCGCAGCTAACTAACCTCTTGTGTTCAAGGTGCGATCTTGACCGCATCCTAGTTAAAAAAGTACTTTCCTTGTTCGGACAGTCTCCATTTCTTCTCATCAATTTCCCCAACCAAAAGAACTACTTCAAAAAGACAAGAACAACAGAACATGGTCCGCTAACGAGAGAGAGAGAGGGGAAGAGAGAAGGCAACCTCTCGCAGGCGTCCTCCAGAGAAGAGAAGGGGCGCTTGAAGTCCGGGTGACAAACTCGCCAGGCGTCCTGGTACGCCATCTGCAATTCCACCTGATTCCCCGGTCGAATCACTTTCTGCTGCTGCTGCAATTGCTGCTGCTGTTGCTGCTGCTGCTGTTGCTGTTGCTGCTGCTGCTGCTGCTGTTGCTGCTGCTGCTGTTGCTGCTGCTGCTGCTGCTGTTGCTGCTGCTGCTGTTGCTGCTGCAAATTAGGGGCGGAGACGCTAGGGTTCTGCTGGATCGGGCGGTGGGGGAGCCCCGGAGGGCGGAGGTGTACGTCGATGTTGGACGGGAACCGCGACATGGCGGCCGCCTGCTGCTGCTGCTTCTGTTGCTGCTTCTGCATCTGCATCTGCTGGAGGAGCAGGAACTGCTGCTGCTGTTGCTGCTGCTGCTGTTGCTGTTGCTGCTGCTGCTGCTGGTGGTGCTGCATCAGCAGTTGCTGCTGCTGCTGCTGCTGCTGTTGCTGGTGGTGCGCCGACGATTTCGCCTCCTCCATCTCTATCTCTCTCTCTCTCAAGAAAAATAGGGATCCGGGACTCTATTCGGCAACGCTAGGGAGAGCCATTTGTGAAATCGAGCGGCGCGGACATGGGAGGAGGCGGTGGCGGAGGCGGCGGTTGATCGGCCGATCCATCGAACCGGAAGCGATTAGGGTTTTGCGCTGTGGCGGAGCAGCTGACACGGTCCGGAGAGACGCGGGAGAGGGGAGGGAGGAGGAAGAAGAAGTCGTCACCGTGGATACTCCTTTGGGCCGGGCCACCGCCGCGTGCTGATGGGCTTTCGACGGAGTCGGCCCAACCCCATAACAAGAGGCGGGCCTCCATTTTTCACGCGGCCTTTTTCTGTTCCCCCCAAATCAATCTAAGGAATTCGCCGGGAACAGGCAAACGTGCTCTTGACCGCCGTGCGGTCAAGGCCACATTGCTACAGTGACGTGTGGAGAAGTAAGCCAATCAGGAGCGATCGGTTTTGAATTTCAAATTCAAACTAGTCGGGAACGGGATGCATATCTCAAAATCTGGTGTTCTGAATTTGGCCGGTTCAACCTGGTACCAATCCAGCTTCTAGTATGCCTTTCGGGTTGTTTTTCTTTTTTCTTTTTAATCTTTTGTTAATATGATTTTTGGTTGATTCAACTTTGTTTAACCACATGCCATTCTAAGACCCCTCATCAATTTAAGAAATTTTCCAGGAGTAGGCCAAAGTGCTCTTGACCGCATAGCGGTTGGGACACGTTCCAGTGACGCATGGAGAAGTAGGCCAATCGAGAGTGACCGGTTTTGAATTTCAAATTTACACTAGTCGGGACACAGGATGCATATCTCAAAACCTAATGTTCTGAATTGGCCGATTCAACTGGGTACCACTCCAGCATCTGGCATGGCTTTTGGGCCATTTTTCCCTTTTTGCTCTTTTTAAATCTTTTGTTTAATCTGATTTTGGTCAAATTAACTTTGTTTAACCCCATATTGTTCATCATAATTCTGTTCCAGCTCTAGCATGAAGGACTAGGGGCTCTCAAGGTAAACTCACATTTTTTTAAAACATTTTTGTGGATGCATTGTATGCAATAAATATGCGAAGATTACTCATTCATCCTATGAGCTATTTATCTCGTTACTCAATAGCTGAACCGAAGTTTGATATAATGTTCGACTTAGTGAAATAAGTACGCAAAGAAAATTCATTTATTTCAATTCGATCTCAGTTCGCCGGCCAAGCCTACTCAAGCATAACATACGAAAACTTTAAAGCAATACAATTAATATGATTCGATATGTTACGTCAAAATCGAACCCAAAACAGCAGGCGAAATAATTCACCAACAAATATATTATAACTTAAGAATTTAGCGGATACTAAATTGATTGTCATCGAGCGGTCCTCGTACTATTATTACGGTTGTTAAGATTATTGGTTTAAATAATGAAATTTAAAAAATCGAGAAATTGAAAGATTAAATACTAGATCTCAACTTATTATTATTATTTTTTTTAATTTTCACCGGAATGTGCCTGCAATTGGCATGACATCGTAATCGAGGTGGAGGTTCGAAAAGCTTCGCACGCCATGTTCCCAAGCAAAGAAGCATAGAATACATTTTTCCGAAGTTCAGGTGCCCAAATTCCTGGGACGAACCTGAGCCGTCAAAGGGTTCTTCATCACGATGGAGAACTCCTGCTTCTCCGACAGGTCCACCTCCTCGCCGGCCGCCGTCCGCCATCGGAACAGCCACACCAAGTTCGCCACGAAGTACTCCAGGTGCAGCATCGCGAGCCCGTACCCGGGACAGATCCTCCTCCCCACCCCAAACGGCATCATCTTTATCTCCCTGCTCCCCGTGATGTCGAACCCGCCGGCTTCTCCGCCGCCGCCGGAGCTCAAGAACCTCTCGGGATTGAACGCCATCGGGTCCTCCCAGACTTCCGGGTCCCAACCCATCTCCGCCACCGTGAAGTTGATGGTCGCGTCCTTGGGGATCGCGTACCCGCCCAGCTCCGCGTCCTTCGTCACCGAGTGTGGCAACACGAAGTGCGCTGGCGGGTGGCGTCGCAGCCCCTCCAGCACCACCGCCTTCAGGTATCCCATCCTCTGCAGGTCCTCCTCCTTCACTTGCTCCGCCCTTTGTTCCACGGCTAGTTTGATTTCATCGTAGAGCCTCTCTTGGATTTCTGGATACTTGACCAGGTTGGCCATGATCCATTGCAGTGCCGTGGACGTCGTGTCGGCGCCGGCGTTGAGGAACTCTGAGCAGAGGGTTACGATCTCGTTCTCCTCCAGCTTCCTTTTCTCCTCCGGCAGCTCCAGGTCCAGGAGCGTGTCCACGTACGACACGGTCCAATCGCCATCATTCCCATCCTCCTTGGCTTTCCTCAATTGCTCTCGCTTGGCCTTGGATCGAGCTTTGATGATCGGGACGAGGACTTGATTCTGATTCTCGCGGAGCTCGTGGAACTCCTTCCATCGCTTCCGGAGCACGAGCTTGCTCAGCCGCGGCCAGAAATTGAGCACTCTGGACCGCCGCAGACCCAGCAGCAACCGTCGCTGAGCCTCCTCGATCTGCTTAATCTGCTTCTCCTCGAGCTTATCTCCGAAGCACATGAGGACCAACAAGCAGAATATGGCGTGCTGGAAGGGGTGGACCACGCGGACTACCCCGCCGGGCTGGGACTTGAGCTCCGCCACAAGCATGTCCAGTACCCGCGCGCGGGCGCGGGAATAGGAGCGGAGGCGGGAGGGATGGAGGATCTCCGCCGTGAGGTTCCGGCGGAGGAGACGCCAGTTGGGGCCATAGGAGGAGGAGTTAATGCTGTGCCGGTTGGAGGAGAGGATACGGTTGGTGGCGACGGGCGGCGGGCGGTCGGCGAAGACAGCGCCGCGGTGGACAAGGGCCTGGTGGGCGAGGGCTGGGGAGCAGACGAAGACCGCGGGGCGGGGGCCAATGTGGAGGGTGACCATCGGGCCGTGGCGGGCGTGGAGGGAGCGGAGGATGGGCTCGAGCTCCAAGAAGGACTTGCGGAGCCATAGGAAGTTGCCGATGACCGGGAAGGTGAGGGGGCCCGGCGGGAGGCTCTTCCTCTCGGCGTCGTCGTCGGAGGCGGAGAGGAGGCGGACGATGGCTCTGAGGAGGGCGGCGACGGAGAGGGCGATGAGGATGAGGAGCCAGAGTTCCATCTTTTTGCCAAGGCGAATTTGAGTGTTCGAGTCGGACCAAATTTAAGGAGCTGCAGCTGCAGAGATTGAAGGAGTCAGCTAAGCTTCTTCCTTGTTGGTTTCATACAAGAACGGAGATTAGAGGACAACTTAGCCGAAAGAAAGCATAATGGATGACGTCGTCCGAGTACTTTAGTAGCGGTGAATTTTGTCTGGGAGATGATATTTTGTCTGGGCTGATTCGATCGTGTGTACATAGGTGTACAATAATCGTTCAGTTTTATTCATAACATATAATTATTTAAATAAAACGAGATGCATTAATGAACCGCGGGTATCCATTTTGAAATTCGAAGAACATCATTTTTATCGAATGTTCTCGGAGTTGCATATTTCCGTGGATTGCATGGCCCTTTTCCTGGTTGGACATTAAGGTATGTCACGTGTTAGGAACCGCATAGAAATCATCATGGACGCTACGTTCGTGAATGAATATCTCCGACGCATGCTTCCAGACGAATTACTAAAGTAATAAGGACGTGCAATTCTTCTGTGTTTTGGACATGTAACATCGAAAACGACAATTGCAGTAATAAACCGCGTTCAGTTGCTCGGCCCGAAACGACAATTGGCTTGGGAAAGGACAAATTTGCCGGCTTATAGCTATAGGTACACCTGCCAAGTCTAAATATACATTAGAGGGAGATAGAGAGAGAGGTGTTCGACTGTGTAAAAGAAGACCAAGGCGCCGAAGAATTTGATAGATCAAGAGTACAAAATTCCAAATTTTGAGAGAACTTCACGTACTTTGAATTGTTTTATGAGAGCATATTATTGTAATCTCTTGAGAGGTGCTAACAGTGTTATAAGTGTATGCTTATGTCTGAGATTAGGGGTAATCGGTTTTAAGGGAGGTAGGTTCCATACGTAGAACCTGGAACCGACTCTGTTTGCCCTGGAACTTGCTTTAGAACCTACCCTGTTTTTCCAGTCCAGTTCTAGGGTTTACTTGAAAACCTGTTTTTCTTTTGCTCTTATATGAGTAGCAATATAATGATTTAAAGTACAAGATGAATTATAATAATCAGTATCCGCCAAAAGCAACAATCCTTTTGATGAGCAATTGAAATTGCTACCCACAAAAAACAACAATCCAAAATATAGTAATAGTATATTGTTAACACTAGCTAAAAATCGATTCCAAATTCGGTCCGGTTCTCGAGTGGGTCTTCACTTAGAATCGGGAACCGGACCGGTTCCAACCAATTTCCAAAAAATGGAAACGGTACCCGGACCGGTTCAATCAAGAATCGGTTCCCGGACTAGCTTTTCGAGTGGTCCGATCCAGTTTCTGCGTAAACCCGGTTTGGTTGCATACCCCTATTAGAGATAACGAGACCTATCAGCTTGAATATTAGCAGCACCTACTTTTTGGAGAAGAGCTTGAATATTAGCAAGTAGATACAACTATAACTTCTCATCGATTATGGTGGAATCCAACCAGTAGGCGGTTAGCAAAGAAGAGTGGACGTAAGCTTACATTAAGCTGAAATACTATAAAGCTCTGTGTGCAAAGTCTTTTATCTCTCAACTCATACTTACTTATTGCTTGATAAAAACATTGCACTCGATAACTTGAATATTAGCATAATCTAATCATATTCATAGTCTGTTTTACATACACTTGATCATATTCATCTTGACATCTTTAAATTCCACATTATTTGTCAAGATCTCGTGAAATCACCTACTCACCCCCTCTAGATGATATTGTTAGCCTACTTCAGTCCTTTGCACTGGTAATGGTACATTTCTGTTGGAAGCATCTTCAGGAAGAACCTCAGCAATCCGAGAAGGATCCTTGCCATCACCAACTTCAGTTTCATGTCTTCCTGGTTTCATCTCAGACAACTCTGATGTTTGTCACTGGGGAAGAATAATGTCTTTATGTTATATTTTGTCGGTCCGCCCATGATGTATGTGTCCAAGGGACACTATTTTCTTTAATAAGAAATGTGTCTGAGAGACCTTTTGAAGAGGTGCGAGAGGAGTTTCTTAAGGGAAGTTAAGGTAATTTCCTCAAATGAACATCAAACAAGAGATAATTAGAACTCTCTCTCTCTCTCTCGACGCATAAGGATTCCATATCTACTTTAAGAAGACAATCGGCATTAACGCTGTGGAACAAGAATACTTTCCCTGTGATTGTATTTGGACCAACGTGAAGTAGATTCGTTCATCGTTTGCTGGTGATTCAACGTACGATCCTGGAAATTTTGTTCGTAGTGCATCGAACAGGTTAGTTGATTCTCCCAACACTCGCATCCTAACATTGGTATCATAGTCTCGGTTATGATATCTGCCTTGATTTTCCATCGAATTTTTTCGCTTGCTGTTTGATATGGAGATCATGATGATGACCTTTATACTGTTTGCATGTTCATTGCTCGGGAATTGCAAGATGAATCGTCGAACATGAATTGAACAAAGAACGGGTTTAAAGGTTACGGCCGACCGTTCTGTTCGGACGATTTTCGAAAAACCTTTTACCGTGAAAATAATTTTTTTATTATATATAATTGAAGAACTCGTCAAGACGAGCAGAACGGTGGGTCGAACGTCGCCGGAAGACACCGGACACGCCCACACGTGCGGCCAGAAGCCGCGGCGTGTAGGAGCCATGCGCGCGTCGCCAATCGACGTGTGATGACGTCATCAAAACTGTCGGTAACCGACATGCTGACGTCATTGATGACGTCATCTCGCGGGCGATCCCACCTCTGGCGACCCGACCCGACCCGACCCGACTGGCGACCCGACCCGATGACCCGACCCATGACCGGTCAACGGTCGAACCGGTCGGACCGGTCGGATTGGCTCAGAAGCCCGAATTGGGCAGGCGCGTGTGCCACACGTGCCGCGCGTGTGCCACACGCGCCGTGCACGTGCCACACGCGCCGCGCACTTAGGCGGCGCGTGTAGGAGCGTGGAAGCTCCGATTGGAGCGTGGTTGGTACAGTTGTGTTCGTATTCAAATTTTCTACATTGTGGTATAGTTATTTTACATGTTTGAAGCTTTTAAAGGTATGAAAATGCATACATAACCCTAAATACGTGTATTTTTGGGGTATTATTGCATTTTACTTGTATTTCCCTATGGTTTTGGAAATACAGAAGCTGGCTTACATGTAAATGACTACATAAAGATTATGTAGAGCTTAGTTTGATGATAGTAGGTGTATGGTCTAGCATGCTTGCAATTCCTTAGTTCTGAACATACTCGAACAATGGCTGGAGATTCTTATTTTTTCATTACGTCATGAATTCCGCTGTTGATTATATTTGTTGCATGAATATTCTATTTGTTGATTTACATCATGCCATGCTATATGATTGCTAGAAAGGATGTGATCATTGTTTTAAATATTTTTTGTGAATTATCTTTTCTAGTGGGAGTTTGTAGGTTGGTAGAATTAGAAGAAATTCTCACCTAGAACTTAAAATTTGCACAAATTAAACAAGTTAATGATAGTAGAACAATCGTACGCCGAAACTGATTGGGAACATCGTGAACTTTTGTGTTTGGTGTCTTTTGTTGAATTATCATTAATTTAGTTTGTCTTTGCTGCAAATTAAAATATGCGTGTTTATATGGAAAATGTGCTAGTATTGATTCTACGTTTATTATGTCAATGTGTAGTAGATAGTGATTATGGCTTCGGCATCCAATACCATTATGGCTGACCTCAATATGGGTGAAAAGCTGAACGGTGACAATTATAATATTTGGCACCGAAAAGTTCAATATATCCTCGAGGAGCAAGAGGTTTTGGAAACCCTCAACCACACCATGGATGAACATGAGCATGGAACTTCTGCTCAACACAAAAGAGATCAAGAAGCTTTTCAAGCTTGGAAAAAGAAAAATAGCATTGCTCGCATCACGTTGCTGAGTCGTATGTAAGATGATTTCATGTGTGAGTTTGAAAGTTATGACAAAGCTCAAGCAATGTGGGTTGCCTTGAAAGATAAGTTTGGGGGTACGTCTGCCACTAAGTTGAGGAGGCTCACTATTAAATTTGACACATACCGGAAGCGCTCAAATCTATCGATGAGGCAACATCTTCGGGAGATGTCAAACATGATACGTGAGTTAAAGTCGGCAGGTCATACCTTAACTGATGAACAGCAAGTTCAGGCTGTTATAATGTCTCTTCCTGACAGCTGGGAACATATGAAAATCAATATGACGCACAATGACAATATCGTCACTTTTGACGATATTGCGCGTCATTTGGAATTAGAATATGAGTGCCTAGAGGCTACAAAATCCTCTACCCATGCTTATGTTGCTGAATCAAGTTCGGGCAAAGCTTCGGGCTTTAAGCGCAAAAGGAACCATAAATTCAACAACAAAGGAAAAGAGACTGATCAGGCACCCAAGAGAGCCAAGACTTTCCGACGCAAGAAGCGTGGCGGGAAGAAGGACAAGACCAAGATGATGTGCTACAATTGTGGTAAACTGGGCCACTTCGCTCGTGAATGCATTGAGCCGAAAAATGTACCACATTACTCCATTACTTTGAGTAATGCTTTTGTTTCTAGCACTGTTATGCTTGCTGAATCTCATCCAATGTGGACTGTAGACTCAGGAGCAACAGACCACGTAGCTAGAGACCGAGGAGCATTTGTCGAGTATCGTCGGATAAAGCCTGGAAGAAGATGGATATATGTTGAAAATAACTCAAGAGTTGAAGTGAAGGGTATCGACACATGTAAATTAACCTTTCGTGGTGGTCGAAACCTATTCCTACATGATGTCCTCTATGCTCCAGATATTCGGCGAAATTTGGTCTCTGTAGTTGTTCTTCTTGGCTTAGGTTATGTATTTAATTTTCATGGTGATTGTGTTGACATTTTGTTTAGAACGGTTTATTACGGTTCTGGTTATGTATTGAATGGTTTTATGGTGTTAGACATTGACTATGTTTTGTACAAAGTTAATGTTGATGGTTGTTTTTCTTTAATTGCATCTTCTAGTAATGTGGAGATTGATGCAAATACTTGGCATGCTAGACAGGG